ACGATAACGTCCAACCATGGCAGGTGCTCCATCTGTAGCTACTGATATTATATTTGATAAAGGAATTGCTTTTTCAATGAGGTAATCCTTCAAAACATGAAATGTTGATTCACCTTTAGTGTCGGTTATCAAAGTTCTTGCGAAGAGCAGTTCTTCGTAGATTTCTTGATTCATAATAAAACGAACATATGCCAATAATAATGCTGCATTATCAGGTAAAGTTGACTCATCCAGTTGTATAGAGAAATGGGTCGTTTGCAAATAATTACATAAGAAGCTTTCAATATCAGAACTCATTTCATCAATACGTCTTTCAACAGTATTGTTGCTTAAGGGAATTCTTTTAATGATATCAGATGCAGGTTTGTGTCAAACAGTTTTTAAAACCTTTTTAACGGCTGACAAAATTAACTTCTCTCCGATAGTATGCGGTTTTCCGGATTTTGCTATAAGTAACGAGGTATTGTAAGACGCTCGCAAACCATCATCATTTCTTTGTGACGTCGAAGCGAACATTCTGTCCAGTGTAGGTCTCTTCTGAAATTTATCTTTGAGTGTTTGAAAGTATTTCAAATCTTTCTCTGTTTTATCAGGGTGGCATCTTCTCAGATGATCTTGCAGTTTAGATTGTTTCATAGCGTCATTGCCCAAAACTTTGTTGCATAAAAGGCACATAGGCGATTGTTTGTCCGGCAATGATGGAATGAAGCGAGATTTCAAATAATCAACACTGTACTGTCTACATTTCTTTTTAGATTCGGACATAGCAAAAATCATCTGTGGGCAAAATTAAATTATTTAAATAAGACAGAAAATCCAGCAAATGTATATTAAAAATATTTTTTGATTTTTCCGAAAACATTCCATAATTCGAATATCTTCTTGCATCAATTAGCTCGAATTACGGAGATTGAACTGAAATTATATTACCGATTGCTAAAACTTTCAAAAAAAAACTATTGAGGAGTAGTCGTGTAATTTTGCATGATTGAATATTTAACTACTAATAACTAAAGTCATGATTGCCGTAATTTATCTATCTTTGCTAACTACGAGTACAAAACTAAAATTTAATAAAATATAATGTACTTACTTTTCTCCAGCACTCTCAAACAAAATAACACTGACTCACTATAATTTGTGTGATTTACTATCTGTTTATATTTTTTTAAATATTTTCTTAGCACTTTCCTTTTCAAGATTCACGAAACGAATAAACGTATTTGTCCCATATTCGTATTTATAGAGTGACGAATTGAACAAGTCAGTGCAAGGTAGCGAAGCTCTGTGACTGCGACTCTCAGGTTTTTACAAGTTCAAAATGTATTGCGACCACAAAGCGAATACCAACATCCTACAACTTACACAATTATATAAACACATATAATAAATTTTTTACTTCATAGGTACTTTTATAAATAATGTATATGTTTTGATATTATAAGATAGTATGATGTTATTAAATAGGTACTATCAGTGTATGTGTTGATATCCACTATCGTGGACCCCCATATTCGTTTCATGGACCCCCAAATTTTTTTTCGCTGACGTAGACCCCTTGCAGGTTGTCATAGACCCCTAGGGGTCGATATAGACCACTTTGGGAATCAATGATCTAAACAATCTGGATTTCGACAACGTCATAATACAGCTTCGGCACTCTGTGATTTAACAGACAATATAACAATGGCACTTGATAACCAAAAAGCAGTAGCTCTCATACTCCTTGACTTTACTAAAGCATTTGACACCATTAATCACTCACTTCTTGTGTCTAAATGCAGTTATTATGGATTTTCTGAAAAACCTCCTTCGTTTATTCAAACCTAGGGGAAACCCGTCTAAAGTGGATACCCCAGGCAAAGCGAATAGTCCCCACTACTTCCAAATTTTTCGTTGGCCGGCAGCCGCGCTGTCAAATCAAGAGTCGCCTGTTGCCGCTTAGTTCGCGGAAATCACTTTGGCGCGAATTTGCGTAGCATGCCGCCATTGAGTGGACAAAGTGTGTTTCTGTACCAGAAATATTAATTTACAGAGGTAAGTGTTTCGCTTATATCTATTATGTTTTTGGTGGCATGTTTTTGTTTATGCAGGGGATTCAATGCATGGTTATAGAGCTTTCAACTATGTGTAGTTGATGAACTTAGATAAACTGTTTTTTTTTATGACCTGGCATAACCTCAAAGCTGTACCCGAAGGGCAAAGCGGATCGGGCAAGGCGGATACTGTATTCACCTTGCCCGGTCATGGCGTGTAATATAATTTCATACAATTTTATATTATATCAAGTATTTTTCTGTTACAGATGGTGAATAAATATAAAAAAAAGACGACGCAAGGTACTTGGAGTAGAGACGTTATGCAGACTGCAATAAATTTATGTAGGGCTGGAGAATCTATTAAAGGGACAGCCAACAAATATGGACTTGCGTATGCTACCCTTTACAGACATGTCAAAAGTGGAAACGCTTCCGCACAGCTCGGTCGATTTCGTCCTACATTCACGGAGGATCAAGAAATTGAACTGGTGACATACCTGCAAGATATGGACGCAGTTTTTTTTGGCCTTACTCGGGATGAATTCATGAGTCTAGCATTTGAGTATGCACACCGCAACAATTTGCGTTACCCTGAGAGTTGGAATAAAAATAAAACAGCTGGAGAAGAATGGCTGCAAAGGTTTTTATCACGTCATACCAACTTGACACTAAGAACTCCAGAATCAACATCTGTAGCGAGGCTGAAAGGATTTAATCGCCGCGAAGTGAGCCATTTTTATGAAAATCTTGAATCTGCCATTGAGAAAAATAACATTGAAGCCTCCAGACTATACAATATGGACGAAACCGGAATATCAACGACCTCAAATAGGCCTCCAAAGGTTATCTCCGTAAAAGGGAAAAAACAAGTGGGTATGATTGCAAGTGCAGAACGCGGCCAATTGACAACCGTCATCGGGTGTTGTAATGCTGCTGGCAGTTTTCTTCCACCTTTCCTGATTTTTGCAAGAAAGAAGATGCAAGCAAGGCTTCTTGATGGTAGTCCTCCAGGGACTCAAGCAACGTGTACTCCTAATGGCTGGACATCAGGGGAAGTCTTCTTGAACTGGATCCATTTTTTCGTAGAGCAAGTGAGGCCAACAGCAGATAAAAAGGTTCTACTAATATTGGATAACCATGAAAGCCACAAATATTATCCTGCACTTGAGTATGCCACCAAGAATAACGTGGTAATATTATCCTTAGCACCGCATACTACAAACAAAATGCAACCTATGGATGTTGCTGTGTATGGCCCACTGAAAACGCATTTCGAAAGGGAAGTTAACATTTTCCAAAAATCTCACCCTGGCCGCATCATTAATCAGTACGATGTATCTAGATTGCTAGCACCAGCTTATCTCAAAGCTGCCGTGGCCATCAATGCAGTGCATGGATTTGAAAAACCTGGGATTTGGCCTGTAAACAAGCACGCATTTGGTGATGAGCATTTCACACCAGCCGAGGTACTTGCAGGTACATCCACTTTAAACAGTCAAGCTGGAACTTTGGCCCCAATAGAAAGCATTGATTTACCCGAGTCCGCTGTTGAAGCGTTACCTTCGATTGAACCTCAAGATCAGCCCATATCACCTTCATTTGCAAATGCCACTCAACATTCTCATTCATTCATAAACCCTATTGAAGGAGAAACCTTACAGACTATAGAATCTGTTAGTTCTTTACCTATTGCGTCATCAGGTGAAGTTGTTGCTTTAGGTGATTTTCAGTCTCAAGACGAAGTAAATATATATATTGAAGATCGACCGTGCACTCCTATTAGATCTGAAACTAAAAAAGAAAGCTATGGCAATACTGTTCCCGCCGCTTCTAAAATCACTGATAAAAAAGCAAAGAGGAGTGCAAAAGAAAATGGAAATCAGAAAAAAATACGGAAATTTGATGATGTCAGCTGCATTTTCTGTGGTGAAATGTACATTGAAGAAGATGATCAGCCAACGGAAAACTGGATACAATGTAGTATTTGTACTCAATGGTGCCATGAAGAGTGCTCAGCCTTCGAAGGCAGTGACGATTTTGTTTGCGATAACTGCAAAAATTAGAAACATGTTATTTTAAATATTTTTTCCTGATTTTCAAGGTTTATTTCCTTTGTAAGTTTAATTTCAAGCCAAATAATGTTGCTATTCGCTTTGCCCTGGTATCATATTCACTTTACCCGGAATCCCGGGCAAGGTGGATAGTTAGTCACTCTTGTTAATTCGATTAATAACTTTTAATTTAATTAATATTTAGGAAGAATCTTATACAATTCCGTTAGTCCTTTAAATAAAGACTGCTTATAAATATTTGTTTTAATTTCCCCGGTTATAACTAATCTACAATAACCAAAAACAGCTTAAGGTATTCACTTTGCCCGGGTTTCCCCTACCTTGAAAATCGGTATCAAAAAGTTCGTCTAAAAATCAACAGTACTCTACCGAACAAAAAATTTGTTCTGGTGCACCACAGGGATCAGTCTTAGGAGCCCTCTTATTTTCATTATGTATCTCAGATTTAGAAACAGAGGTAAAATCATGCAGCATACATTTTTTTGCAAACGATACTCAAAATATTACAAATAAAAGACATTAATTATTATTATTATTTTCCTACGGTCATCAATGCTCAATCGCAACATTGTCAAATGGGTGATCACTATAGACTAATTGTATGGGCCTGTTGACTGACTTGTTCCATTCAATTTGTTTGTTTATACATGTTTGTAGCTAACTTTTTCTTACAAGGGTTAAAGTGCAGATCCATTGACGCCATATGCAATGTCAAAAATATGCTGTAATTACAAAATGAAAAATTTAATAAAAAACAGTCAGCGGTTCGAATACTTGTTGTATGATAGGGATTAATTTCAAAGTACTATACTAAAAATTAATCTATCTGACGCTCTGTAAAAATTTTTGTTAAAATTTCATCTGAAAATGTATTACTTTTGTAGGTCTGATGTTGATGGGTGGTTCGGAAACAACATTCCTTCTGCTTTTACTGTTGCTTGCCAAAGGGTACACCGTAACTAGAGGACGACTACCTTTGGCTGCAAGTGTCAAGCTTACAATCTTCATGTGCCTTTACATAGTTACTTATGTCACCATATTTATATATGAGGCAAAGGTGAAGATTCTGCTCCTAAATATAATAAACATACATAATATTGGATACCTTAAGATCGTGTTTGCTTTCATTTTAATACTTTTTACTAATTTTGTAGGTGTTTGATCCTGGAGAAGTACTATATCTCTATGAATCACCAGCAGGTTATGGACTAATCACCCTTCGAGTTATGGCATGGTGTATGTTTATATATTCCACGATCTTCACATTGAAACATTATCCTGAAAAGGTACTACTTAATAAAACAAAACAGTAACACCGCCACGTGTCAAAATCATGTAATCTTTTTATTTTACTATTTTACCAGTAATTTGATTGTCTTTTAATTAATGGTAGAGTGCCAATTCCTAGGCCAAACCCTTTTCGATGATTTTCTTTTGGTAAATTTCTTAGTTTATTGATTGTATAATTTCACACGTATTATATCTTCCTTTCTCTGCGACTCAGTATTGTGTTGAAATCTTTTGGACACTAATGTTATAAACTGTATCCATCGAAGAAACAAAGTAAAATCAAACATATACACCCGTATTGCACGTGATCAAGAACTTAACCGTAGGAGACGCTAATCATATTTCGACATTAGGAATCAGTGCAAAAAATTCTGTATTCACCATTTCAGCAAAATGTTACTAAAACGCACACGAAAAAAACTTGTGGACCATCTCAATTGAAATTGTTCATATTTTATTATTAACTTACATATATACCCAATAATATTTACAAATCAACCTTCTATTCACAATGCAGAGCAAATTTTTTTGAGCAAATAGAAACTACAGACGTAGTAGTAGTAGTACAAAAGTTTATTACAGACTCCATAAAGTTTGTTAGTTTGATTGCTATTAAAATTTACATGAGAAATAGGAAGAAGGTCAAAATGGCACTATTATGCTTTGGAACTCCTAAATTAACCCTAATTTTGTGTAATTATAAATTTGGAATTTCCACATTAATAACTAGAAACTTACACTTTGATTGCAGTCTATAATGAACTTACCTGTCTTGCCAAAAAGCCCGTTAAACTGCCAATCTTAATGGTATCAATCGATTTATATGCTGTATTCAGAGGAGCTTGAATCATCAGAATTGTTGATGTCAATTATAAGGGGTTCAACTTGGGTGTCAATGATATTGTCCATATCCCACATTTTGGTTTCAACCTTCTCTTGGACATGGTCAATACATGTTCTCCATTTTGCTGGCGTAATTCTATCGACAGCAACATCAAACAGTTTTTTAAGGTCAGAAAACTTGAAAGTGCTGTTATTTGACGCCACGTATTGCTTGATGTCGGCCCAAATCAACTCGATAGGATTCAGTTCGCAGTGATAGGGAGGCAGCCTGAGAATCGTTTTATTTTGGTTTTTGGCCATTTCGTCAACAATTTTTAAATCATATTTATACTTATGTCGCTTGACTATATTTATCAGCTCAGCTTTGACCATTGTTTGGTCGAAGTCGATCTTCTTTGAGACAAGCCACTGTTGAATGTCTGCCTTTTTGGTGGCCATTGTTGGAGTTTTTTCCAATTTTCTGGAGTGGTACGGGGCATTATCCATCACAATAATTGCGTTATCATCAAGTGTCGGCAAAATTTTTTTGAACCAATTTTCAAATGAGTTACCATCCATTTCTTCGTGATAGTCTCCAGTTTTTTTGGATTCAAATGCCCACAATGCTTCAGGAACAAATCCATCTACGCTACCTATGTGGCAAATGATCAGGCGTTTTCCCTTGCCTGAAAGTAATTAGTTATTTTACTTCTCAGCGAGCGCACTAAATGACGAAATTAAGCAACTTACTCTTTTTAGGTTAGTGTAGGATAGGGTCTTAGATTAGTTTTTGGGTGAAGGAAATACTCAGAAACTTGGATGAGATAGCAAAACTGAGTTCGGAGCATCCAAATCATTGATTCGATCATTAAATGAATTATCTGCATCCAAAAAAGTCCATATACTTCGAAACTTACCTCCAGGATTTTTCAATCCCGTCGAAAGGCCATCTAAAAAAGCCTGCCTTGAGGACCTCACAGATCTGTCTACCCAAACCTTTCCCTGCGTATGCCCCGCGTTCACCCATGTTTCGTCTAAATAATAAATTTTTCTTCCTTCAGCGCGGAATTGCCTAATTTTTCTAAGGTATTCTCTCCTCCAGATAACAATTTCCTCATTTTCTATCAATAAACTATTCCTTCCTCTTTTCAAAAATCGAAAGTCTAGTTCTTTCAACAGCTTATGGAACGTAGATCTTTTAAAATTTGGCAGGTCCTCATCATCATTTACTTGCTTCAATATTTTATCTATTGTAGGTATTTCATTCCTGAAGAAAAAGTGATGTACTTTTCTTCTAATGGCACTTTTGTCAAAGTCATCTATTTTTTCGATGATTTTTTTTCTCGCTGGATATGTTTTTGGCTCAGACAGTGAGTGATTTTGTCTATATTCCTTCAAGATTTTGTAAACACTTGATCGACCTACTCCAGAAATTTCAGCAACCTTACATACGATATTTTCTTGTAGATATTTAGAATAATTTGTTTTTCACCTGCGCTAATATGAAGCTTTTTAGCCCTTTTGCTGGGTGGCGTTAAGCTGATTTTAACCACTTCATCAGCTGTATCTGTGTCAGACATTTTAGACTAATATTAAATTACCGCAAAAAAAAATCAAGTCAAGACGTGCATAAAACGTTCGCGCTCATAAACGGGTATCCGTAACTGATTACAATCCTGTGCGTGGTGACGAACCATCAACGTGACGCTGAGAGTTCCCTCTACTATGCAGCGTTGCCAGGCTTAATGTCACAATGATCATGTTTTATTGGGAAAATTGTCAGAAATCGCCGAATGTTGAACAGAAACATTACAAGAAGTCTAACCTTGAAATGTGAGGCTACAAATCGATATTCTTATAGGGGGGAAGGGTAGGGAGCTGTTATGGTTCCTATTAACCTTGGTGAAAGTTGGAAACGGTAATATCATATATGGCATACATTCGGTTGAAGGTGTGTGCACGGAAAATAGATTGCGGATAGGATTTTAATAGATAAATCTGCACAAAAAAACACAAAAGGAGATTTTTGTATTTCCCTGAAGAATATCTCAACGTTATTTCAGATGTACTCATCGAAACTTTATGGAAGGATTATGGAAACCTTATTTTCAATTGCGATAGGGCCACATACCTCGACATCGCATTAATGTGAAAAATAAGACAATAGAAAAAAATTCCCTCACTGATGCTATCTCTTAGGAAAAATTTAACTATAAAGATTGCACAAAAATTTTCTTCACCTTTTTAAGCTTGTTTTCGCATCTCCGTATATGCCGTTCATAATTTGCTGCAGATCAAATTGGAATATACCTTTGTGATGCCATTTATTGTTATATAATGTCCTTTACAACAGTTATTGCACGTATTGCACCAACAGATTGATTTGTGATCCATGCGAATGTGATCAACCACTCTGGCGAAAACTCGCCGAGCGTGGCAACCGTGCGACTTTGTCTGGAGGCTCGTCGCTACAAGCCAATCAGGAAGAGGCCGACAGAGCGCCATGGTTACCGATCACGCGTTGATCACGAATCAACCACTGTTTACGATTACTTTGTAGCTTCGTTAGATACACTTTAGTATTATTAACGACTCTCAGAAATTTCCTGATAAAATATCGTTGGTCCCTCGTAGAGTTGGTTCCGCCCACTGGCAACCAGCACCACCTTGTGGTTTCTAAACGTACTACCCACCCACGCCCAACCAACACCTCAACGGAAAGAAGAAATGAAAAATGACGCTGGACCCGTCTGTACCCGAAAGTTTTTAAAACAACGTATCTTGATAGGATACCAAATATCCCCATACAGGTATCTTGATAGGAAACCAAATACTCCTATACGGCTGGTACGTATAGAAACGACAAGGTGGCGCTGGTTGCTAATGGGCGGAACCAACTCTACGAGGAACCAACGATATTTTGTGGGGAAATTTCTGAGATAATCGTTAATAATACTATAACATTAGTGTCCGAAAGATTTCAACACAATACTGAGTCGCTGAGAAAGAAAGATATATATAATACGTGTGAAATTATACAATAAACTATGAAATTTACCAAAAGAAAATCATTGAAAAGGGTTTGTCCTAGGAATCGGCACTCTACCATTAATGAGGAGACATTCAAACTTTCAAAATTCGTACACTGGTAAGTGATCAAAATAGTAAAAAAAGATTACGTGATTTTGGCACGTGACAACAGCTTCACAGGACTTTTCTGTGATTGTTTAAACATGAAATAGATTTTGCTTTTGAAATTATATTTCTTTGTGAGTATAGGATTTTCCTTTCAGTGCAATTTCTACTACCCATTTAACCTGTTCGGTACCATATGGTTTATTGCGGGACCAGCATTCATTGTATCTGCAAATACTTATATTGACAAATGGGTTAGGGAGTCTGTCGTATGGGCTGTACTACTACTCATAGCTTATGGTGGACACTTGATGTTCCTGGTAAGTGTTAGGACTAACCAAGATTTTGCTGGGTACTTTGGTAAAACCCTACTGCCATCAATAACAAAATACCTAATCTTATCTAAGTATTATCCATTCTGCCTCCCAATGTTGCCGTTTCCTGCTCCAGTTCAAACGTTAACGACAGTGATCCGCAGTCAGAGGAAGCACTAACCGTGGACGGTATGACAAAAGTCCAAAAGCTCGAAACGCTCTGTGGTACACCTCGGTGAACCAGTTGGCCTTCCTCGTGTTCCTCTAAGTCATTATGTTAAAAAATATTTTTTACTGGATGTAACACTTCTAATGTCACTGAGTGTAATTAAGTGTGTAATAAGTTATAAAAACATTTGCTGACAATGAAGGTATTTTTGCGTCAATCCTCGGCAATTTTTTTTATAGATTTTGACAACTCCATCGGTGGCAAACAAGAACTTCCCTTACCACGTAAGAACCACACAAATTGGTATAATGGAAGTTGCTGGTGGAGGTGGAATGGATCAATTCAATCACCACATGTATGAACCGACAACGACGATTCGAGAGCAAACGGTGATTATACCACTGACAAAGAGGACTGAAGAGATCTTTGAAGGTAACTATTAAACTGCAAAGTGGCTGGGATTAATTTCACATACTTTTCATCGAGCAACATCCAGTCCAATTTCAGAATCAATAAAAAAATGTCCCTTTCCAAGGCCGGAGTTTGGGTTTGAAGAGCGCCCTAACAAAAGCGAATTTTGGAGCCGAAAAATGTTTGTCTCCCATGCGATGTACGAGGACCTATTTCAACATTTGGACACTTGGAAATTAGATCATCGTGGTTCTTGAGGCATTTTCTTTGCTCTGGGATGCCTAAAGCTGTGCTTAGGTCCCTATATGCTGCTAAAAATAGATATCTATCTCAGTGTTGTCCGTACACAGAAAATATTAGACGACAATTTGTGAACTGTAATAACAATGGCCTGAAAAAACTAAGCTCCGCGATTGATGTATGGAACTTGACCTTGACCGTGACCTTCAAGGTCATTTGAAGGTCAAGTCGTAACGTAACGTAACGTTCACCCCGTAAATGAAAAGAGCGGAAAACTTTATATGATCTTTACTATTCTTAAACTTTGATCCTAAGAGGTCCTGGTCAAGGTCAAACCCAGGTACGGTGATATAACTTGAAAACTAGTACTCGTATCAGGAAACTACAAAGACATGATTTCCTGAATATACAATTGTGACCTTTGATCTGACCTTAACCATTTTAACCTTCAAGTTCATGAGTAGTTAATCTGAGGGTTTTACAGTTTTCTGAATTATCAAGAAACTAAAGTAAACTTATGTTGGACCTTGATGGTCAAGTCCAAGGTCAAGTTCCAAAAGTGATGGTGTATGTACGAAACAATCTGCCTTATAACCATACCATATTTACAATCAACAATGAACTAAAAGGTATCAATCTAACAATCCAAATTGAAAATCATAATGTCAAAATTACTTGTGTTTACCGACCACCATCTTCAGATCCTAATACATTTATAAGAGACATAGATGAACTATTAAAAAACAATGAAAACAATCACCTTCATAATCAAATATTTATAGGCGACATCAATATAAACATTTTAGAGGAAAATTCTATGGTGAAAGAATATTTAAACATTTTATCAAGTAATGGTTTTTTATCATACATAAATAAAGTAACACGACCCACCAGTAAAACCTGCATTGATCACTGCTTTATAAAGGATATTTCCAATATTTTTTCTTACATGCCTATTATCTATGAAACCGATATTACAGATCATTATTCCACTGTATTATTGATATCTTCACAAAATAAAAACCAGAACTGCCCAAGGGCAAAAAATGAAAGAAACCTTGAATACAAATATTTCACTGACAACTCAAAATTAATATTTAACGCACAAACGGAATCGTGGGACGAAATTTTTTTAACAAATTCTTTAGACGAAGCTACAAATTTATTAATACACAAAATTCAAAAAGTAATTGAAGTTAGTACTAATAAGGTTAAAATAAGTCACAAGGAAAAAAGCAGAAATGATTGGATGACCAAAGGACTAATAAAATCTGCAAACGAAAAAGAAAGACTGTATAAAATCATGAAATATTTACCCGCGAAAGAAAATATAGATCATTATATTATAATCAGTATAAAAACAAATTTATAAAACTTTTGAAAAGCAAAAAAAATTACTATATAAAACAATTGAATAATAATTCACATGACTCTAGACACCTATGGTCCACTGTCAATGATATATTCAATAAGTCATCCTATTCAAAAAACAATATTAATGAAATAAAAACAAAAACAGGACAGAAAACAGACAATATTCAGCAAATATGTGATGAGTTCATAGAATTTTTCACGAATATAGGAGGAAACTTAGCAAATAATATCAAACAAAATGCTGATATTCATCTGCATGAAACAAGACTGAATAATTCATTTGTATTAACTGAAGTAGACTATCAGGATGTTTTCAATGTCATTATGACTCTAAAAAATAAAAAAAGAACTGGAGTTGACGAAATTAGAGCTGAACATTTAAAGATACTGGCCAAACAAATAACAGAACCACTTGCTTATATCATTAACAAATCCTTCCAATCTGGAGTATTTCCATCAGCTTTCAAGACAGCAATCATCATACCTATCTGTATAAATCTAATGATAATACGGACGTCACTAACTATCGACCTATTTCACTTATATCAAGTTTAGCTAAAGTTTTTGAGAAATTACTCCTTAATAAAATGATAAATTTTCTTAATAAATTCAAAATTCTAAATTCAAATCAATACGGTTTTATAGCGGGCAAATCTACAACAGATGGGGTATTAAGTATAGTAGATGAAATAACCCAAAATATAGATGGAAAAGTACCATCGATATGCGTATTTGTGGACTTACAAAAAGCGTTTGACACAGTTAACCACAATATACTTTTGGAAATCTTAGAAAGAATAGGTTTTCGTGGAAAGATGTATACTTTAATGGAAAATTATTTATCAAATAGACCGCAATCAGTAAAATTATTAAGCTCGTATAGTAAAGAAATGTCAGTTTTGCAGACGATACTGCTATACTCTATAAAGGTAAGGATTGGAACGACTTAAAAGATATTATCCAAAATGACTTTTGCAAAATTATGCAGTGGTTTAATAACCGAAAATTAACAATTAACTTTACTAAAACTCATTTTTTACCATTTTCATCACTATCTAATCATCTACCAAAATATAACCACCTTCGGTTTAAGGTAAATGATAAAAATATAAAAATCAATAGAGTTAATGATACAAAATATTTAGGAATTTATCTAGATCCCCACTTGAGATGGGATGTACATATTTCTCACATACTAAAGAAAATTAGATTCATAGCATATAAAATAAAATTTCTAACCGGTATATTAACTGAATATTATCTACGAATAATATATCAAGCTTTAGTCGAGCCGCACATAACATATGGTATAGTAGTGTGGGGTGCTGCATGCACGACATACTTTAACGATTTAGATGTACTTCAAAGAAGAATTTTAAAATCAATGTTAGGCAAATCAAAATTATACCCAACTAATGACTTATAGAATGATGCACAAGTATATGATACTAAACAACTTTACTTCTTACATACCATCACTCATTATCACAAAACTATTAGTGAACACGACATAATTAAACATAATCATAAAACCAGATATAAATTACACGCAAAAAAAGTTCCTAAACCAAACAAATCCCTAATGAAACGATGTCACCTGTATATAGCACCAAAATTGTACGAACATTTACCAAATAATTTAAAACAATTACGCAATACATTAGGCTTCAAAAAAAAATTAAAAAAATTTATTAACACGATTGGGAGAAATCAAATTAATAAAATAATCTCAAATATTACACAATAAATGCTCTACCATTCTTACCAATAATTTCTTTTTTCTCTCTATTTTATTATATTTTGCAATTCAACATACATATGATCCATGCACAGGCGTTGTCCTCCTATGGATTTATTATATTTATTTACTCGTTTCATGTTCCCTGTATTTTAGAGTAAATAAATATTATTATTATTATTAAAAAAAAAAACTGATGAAGGGCATACTCGAACATAAAATTGTCCATGTTCTCCATTTCTGCGGTCAAAAGTGTTCAGGGTATCATTAGAAAAAGAGTTGACCTTCAAATGAGTCAGTGCCAAGGTCGGATCAAAGGTCCCCTTTAGATATCCGGAGAAAAGCATGAAAATAATGTCTTGGTAGTTTCCCTGGACAACTACTGGCTTTCAACGTATATCACCGTATCTGGTATTGAGTTTGACGATACCTAAGGCCAACATTTAAGAATGTTCAAGAACATATTTTGAGGTGATATTTCACACTCTTTTCATTTACGGCGACAAAAAAAGGCTCCATTGAAAAAATCGACTTGACCCTCAAATGAATCTTGACCTTGAATGTCCTGCTTAAGCTCAACTCCAAGGTCACCATTGATAGCTTTAAAAATTCCTATCAATCGCAGGGCTTAGCTCTTCCTACCATTATTAGTTCAAATATTATCGTGGGATTCCGTAACTTTTCAGACAGTACATTAATTTGTGACAACAAGACTCACCTCACGTCTAAGAAATAATTTTTTTAAAATGTGCATATACAGGGTGGCCAAACACGTGACGTCATAAAAAAAAAATTAGATTCCCCACATCGAGAGGAACCCAAATCACCCCCATATATATGGTCCGATTTTGTTTAGTTTAGGAGTTATGATTTTTTTTCGGATTTTTCGAGAATTTTTGAGTTCTGTGTTTATTTTTACCATAACTTCGTTAATAATTGTGATAAATGCCTGCTTTTTTCACGATTATGTAGCTAAGACCTAAGGCTTAACTATCATATAATCATTCAAGTCATGTAACTAATACTACTTTTTAATTTTTTTCAAAATCTTCGAACATAACAAAAAAGTAAAAAAGTACAACAACTTTGAACGTTTATAAAAAATTGAAAAAACATGATCTTACTATTCGTAAGTATCTTGAAAACTTCCTTACGGTATCAGCTATTTACCGTAAAAATTTCATCAACCTAGCTTTACTACATGCTACCGTAATTGTGGCTCAAATAGAACCGAACCCAAAATTGGATAACCCTCTGCTCAATAGAAATTGTTAGTTTCGGAAAAAAATTTGCAAAAACCACAAAAACACGTTTGATTTTTACTGAACAGCAGATTATTATTCATTTATGTTATGTACAAGAGGTTTTCAAAATGTCTGCCTCTAACAGAAATGCACAGTGTACACCTACGTATGAAATTTTGTTTTAAATCTCTAAATGCTTGTGTGTTGTTTTTCAACACATGTGTCGCTTCTTGAATTTTGTTCCTCAATGAATTTTCATTTGCACATTCTTGGGCGAATGTTATGTCTTTAAAATATCCCCAAACAAAAAAATCAATGGGGTTGAGGTCAGGGGAGCGTGGAGGCCATCGTATCGGTCCGTTTCGTCCGATCCATCTGTCTGGGAACCTTTCGTTTAAGTAGTTTCGCACGATCGTTGCGTTGTGGCATGGTGCACCATCATTCTGGAACACCATGTTTCGTCTGGCTTCCAGGCTTGAATCTTCCAGCAATAATGGTAGGCTATTTTCAAGGAAGCTTTTGTAGGCTACCGAATCCAACCTTGACGGCAGTTCAAATGGACCGATAAATTCCATATTGAATATTCCTGACCACATGTTCACACTAAAACGGTGTTGAAATGTCGACGGCCTTGACTGGTGGGGGTTTTCAACAGCCCAAGTATGTAAATTATGGATATTGAATATCCCTGTTCTTTCAAAACGTGACTCGTCAGTCCATAAAATTTTATCAAAAAAATCGGGATCCTCTCGTTGTCTTCGCAGCATTGTCTCGCAGAAATCCACTCTTAACTGGTAATCTGAAGGCATCAACACTTGAACTCTTTGAATGATAGGCATGATAACCTTCTTCATGAAGAATATTTTGTATCGATGTTCGTGGTATTCTAAGGTTTTGTGCCATAGATCTCGTACTCGTTGAGGGATTCCGGCTAATTTCTTCAAGTACTACTTCTCTGCGATCCGGATCAGCTGTAGGATATCCTTCATTGCTTCCTCGTCCTGGAATGCGGCCTGCCATGAAAGTGTTATGTGTGTTAATAAAAACACGGTGGTCTGGGTAATGCTCAGGTTGTGGTCCGCCTCGGCGTATAAGTTGTTCCCGGTACAGCTGAGCTGCTAAAGCGCCGTTGCCTTGAGCAACGCCATAATAATAATGCATTTCTGCATATTCACGCAACGTATAATGCATCACAAACTTCTTAGCAAACAAAGTCCAAATCAGTATGCAAAGCAGAGTCCCGGAATATCCAATTTTTTAGAGCACGAGGTTTCGGCTGATATGGCCTCTTATTTCGTCTGCAGGTGACTTAGCCTTTCGGGGTTATTTATACCAGAACGGCTGACGTGTCCTGTGACGTAGATGACGTGGCTGGTCGGTGGTGATGACTTGTCCTCTGTTGGTTGCGAGACAATGCTGCGAAGACAACGAGAGGATCCCGATTTTTTTGATGAAATTTTATGGACTGACGAGTCACGTTTTGAAAGAACAGGGATATTCAATATCCATAATTTACGTACTTGGGCTGTTGAAAACCCCCACCAGTCAAGGCCGTCGACATTTCAACACCGTTTTAGTGTGAACATGTGGTCAGGAATATTCAATATGGAATTTATCGGTCCATTTGAACTGCCGTCAAGGTTGGATTCGGTAGCCTACAAAAGCTTCCTTGAAAATAGCCTACCATTATTGCTGGAAGATTCAAGCCTGGAAGCCAGACGGAACATGGTGTTCCAGAATGATGGTGCACCATGCCACAACGCAACGATCGTGCGAAACTACTTAAACGAAAGGTTCCCAGACAGATGGATCGGACGAAACGGACCGATACGATGGCCTCCACGCTCCCCTGACCTCAACCCCATTGATTTTTTTGTTTGGGGATATTTTAAAGACATAACATTCACCCAAGAATGTGCAAATGAAAATTCATTGAGGAACAAAATTCAAGAAGCGACACATGTGCTGAAAAACAACACACAAGCATTTAGAGATTTAAAACAAAATTTCATACGTAGGTGTACACTGTGCATTTCTGTTAGAGGCAGACATTTTGAAAACCTCTTGTACATAACATAAATGAATAATAATCTGCTGTTCAGTAAAAATCAAACGTGTTTTTGTGGTTTTTGCAAATTTTTTTCCGAAACTAACAATTTCTATTGAGCAGAGGGTTATCCAATTTTGGGTTCGGTTCTATTTGAGCCACAATTACGGTAGCATGTAGTAAAGCTAGGTTGATGAAATTTTTACGGTAAATAGCTGATACCGTAAGGAAGTTTTTAAGATACTTACGAATAGTAAGAACATGTTTTTTCAATTTTTTATAAACGTTCAAAGTTGTTGTACTTTTTTACTTTTTTGTTATGTTCGAAGATTTTGAAAAAAATTAAAAAGTAGTATTAGTTACATGACTTGAATGATTATATGATAGTTAAGCCTTAGGTCTTAGCTACATAATCGTGAAAAAAGCAGGCATTTATCACAATTATTAACGAAGTTATGGTAAAAATAAACACAGAACTCAAAAATTCTCGAAAAATCCGAAAAAAAATCATAACTCCTAAACTAAACAAAATCGGACCATATATATGGGGGTGATTTGGGTTCCTCTCGATGTGGGGAATCTAATTTTTTTTTATGACGTCACGTGTTTGGCTACCCTGTATAATACAAACATCTCTAGTGATAGTTACTTACAAACAACTGAATTTAACTAAAAAAATGTCACTCAATGCCGAGAACCTGTACATCGATCTGTCTGTTCTTGTAGGCTCATTTTTGGAAATCTGTGTGATAGCAGCAGAGATATCTTCTATCTTCCAGATATTTCATACGTATTAACACGTCTAACTTAATTTCAGGAATGTGTACTCAGAGAGCGTTCAGTAAAACTTCGCAGAATGGGATCATTCAAAAAATGGATGAGCCTCCAGCAAAAGATGCGACTATTGAAAATGTGCTCAGTTGGTCTATAGCTAAAAAGATACCTGCTGCAATCGAACTGCCAGCTCTTGAGAGAAACGACAGAAGTTCATTGGGTGAGCTTTTAAGAATTCCGAAAACAACTGCGATTTTGCTGAATGCATCTTTCAAAAAGATGAGACTGTACGGATTTGCCTGTTTGTACAACCTTCCGACATGATGCGCTTTATCACTCGCAGTTGGGCATACACAAATTTTGCTAAGAACTGATCGTAATTGGAAGCTTTACTTTCACTTTTAAGTCTAGTTTCGGACCCAGTTTTTGGGTGCATACGAGGGATGGCTCGAAAATGTTCTCGGTTGAGTTCCATTTTTCTAATGACTTGGTGACACTTAAAAATTCACTGTAGTGAGAACACTGCACGTATTGTTGTGAAACTTTGAATTTAAGTTTACTAAAGAGTGAGGTTAAGATTCAGTACTGACGTTCGATCCGCGCGGCCTACTATGTTTCCATATGCAAAACTTAAAAGACATCCCTCGTATAACAAGATCGTGGCGAATATTGTTAATATACCGGGTGTTTCACCGTTGTGATCTCGGAAACTGTGAGAGATACGAAGTGGCTTGAATGGAGGCAAAGTTGCGTATTTAGGTAATCAACAAAACGCAGCTAAGATAGTTTCGAAATTCAAAGTACTTGCGGAAAAAACGAATTTTCCCAAAATCGTTTTAATTAACATCGCCACGTTTTATCCTCTAGAATGGCACTACTAGAATTTCAATATGACGTTTCGTCTCTTGCCCTCCAGCGTTTTTTCTTGAAGACGCCGTACTGTATTTTGCTCAGATAAGAAGACATTTTAATTTGACATTGTGAAACCACAGTTATTCTTGAAATTATACTGGACAACAAATTTTAGTTTTTTAATTGTATCTTGTGGGAAAAGTGCACTTCTTTGTTAATTTTGGGGCGCTGAATCCAAAAATGACAATGAAATAAAAAAATTAGTTGTGGTTTAGAAAAAAAACTTTTTATTTTTAAGGATATATTAAAAAAAGTAACAAGATTCATATACTTATAAGAATCACTATATGCGCTGTATTTTTGCTGTTCTTTTATGGATCGTTTCTGGAGCATCTCTACCAAGAGTCCAACAGTTGTCTGCAAGCATGGAAGGATTCCACTTTCCCTGGTACCTTTTTTCCATTGTTGAAGTATCCTGATGAAAACGTTCGCCGTGCTCATCACTTACGGCTCCGCAATTGTCAGGAAAAAAGTCCAGGTGTGTAGGAAATGTATCTTAAGAGACATATTACAGCCCATCTTTTGATACGATGACAGCACATTTTTGACAAGGGTTTTATAGTTGTCAGCTTTTCTATTTCCTAAGAAATTAGTGACCACCAGACGGAAATCATTCCAAGCAGTTTTTTCAATACCTGTTAAAGTGTTTTCAAACTGTGTATCATTTAAAATATTTCGAATCAACAAAAATACCTTCTTTAACCTTTGCCTCACTTAGTCTTGGAAATTTCTGACGCAGGTATTGAAAAGCTGACCCATCTCTATCTAATGGCTTGACAAAGTTTTTCATTAGGCCCAACTTGATATGCAGTGGTGGTAATAAAATTTTTTTCGAATCTACTAATGGCATATGCTGTACATTTTTTTAACCTGGCTCTAGGAATTGACGAACAGACCAGTTTTGTCTGGTGTAATGAAGTGCCTTTGCCCGATTGTCCCATTCACACAAAAAACAGCAAAACTTTGTGTAGCCTAGCTGCAGCCCAAGTAAAAGTGCAACAACTTTCAAATCGCCACAAATATGCCATTGGTGCTCATCGTATTTTATGCATGACAATAGGTACTTCATATTGTCATATGATTCTTTCATGTGAACTGCATACCCTACAGGAAGAGATGGTAAAATATTTCCAATATGCAATAACACTGCCTTTAAACTCAATGTTGAACTGTCTATAAACAATCTCCATTCTTCTGGGTTATAGTTTATATTTAAAGCCGCCAGTCAGCCGTTAATGTTACTGCAGAAAACCAAGTTACTCTCCATATTGAAAAATGGTTCTAAGTCTTTGTGGCGTTTACGGAAAACACATACCGAAACATCGTCTTCTAACAAGTTCCACTGCTGCAGTCTTGATCCAATTAACTCTGCCTTACATTTTGGAAGTTCTAAATCTCTTACAAGATCATTTAATTCTGACTGTGTTATTTTGTGCGGTTGGTGGCATGACGTGCTCTGTATAAAATCAGAATCTCTTGACGTTGATGGCATATCTTCTTCCTGACGAATCACTCGATCGCCATGATCTGATTCGTTTTCTGATTCGCAAGTGTAGGATTCTGGGGGGAATGGGAATAGGATTTTCGTCACTGTGAGGCACAGGTCTCATCGCAGATGGTATGTTTGGGTAGTTAATAACCGATTTTTTTTTTCTTGGACATAAGTGTGGCTTGTCCAACACAAGGTACCATGCAAAAGTAACAATCATTAATATGATTTGTAGGCTCTCTCCAAACCATTGGGACAGCAAAGCGCATAGACCATTTTTTGCCATTTAACCAGCTCCTCAGACTTGAAGCACATGTATTACAGCAGATGTGGGGTGCCCACTGTTTGTCTTGATCACCTGGTTTACAACCGAAATAAAGCTGATATGCCTTTGTTATTAGTGGAGTAATAGACCGTCTCTGAGACGCAAAAGTCACATCACCACACACGTAACAAAACTGATCTGGATTGTTTACACACTTTCGAGACATCTTGCATGAACGCTGTCAGCCAACTGAGGAAAAAATGGCTAATATAAAACAATATAATGTACACGTATATATAACGTAACACAATCATGCCGACTACATCATCTTTCCTTGCCGAATATAAAAATGTAGCACGTGCATTCTTGTGAATTACAGTATATTAACACTGTCACAGCAGGAACACATATAATTACCGTATCTCTAAAACTTGAACTAATATTGAAAAAATAAGTTTCATTCCGGTTTTAGCACATTAAAAATAGTAATATTTTGTTGATTTTATTTAGGATATTTTTTGGCTGTTGATCAGTGATTATCATAGTCATTTGTTGCGTATACCAGACCAGACCTCAAATTGAACATAGTAACAGAGTTTGGAAGACTGAGAAGAAGAGTCAGGCTTTTCCTACAAAGTAACGAACAACATTTGGAACACCTGCTATGATTTACCTCTCTGATTATGTATGATGTTTGTTATTACCATCCTTTTTGTGTTATGGTTTCACCATACCATTTTATTTTCTTTCCAACATCAAATTGATGGCCGACTAAGGAAATACATCGCTGAATTCAGAACTGAAAAATCCATTTTAATGTACAAAATTCCAATACAGCGTCCATGTGAAGAAACAAAATTGGTGATGGAAGTCGATAGAAGATACCTGGAATTGAAAATTTGACTACGCCATCTTGAAGGGAAGAAAAAGTGACAATGACAACATGCAATTTATTTCGAAATCCCGTCTCAAATAAAGTCAAGAAAAAATAAAAATGATTTGGCGATAAATCTGGTATACGAAACAAACTACTCGTACTATCTGATAACACTGATCAACAGCCAAAAAATATGCTAAGTAAAATCAACAAAATATTACTATTTTTAATGTGCTAAAACCGGAATGAAACTTATTTTTTCAATATTAGTTCAAGTTTTAGAGATACGGTAATTATATGTGTTCCTGCTGCGACAGTGTTACTATACTGTAATTCACAAGAATGCACGTGCTACATTTTTATATTCGGCAAGGAAAGATGATGTAATCGGCATGATTGTGTTACGTTATACATACATGTACATTATATTGTTTTATATTAGCCATTTTTCCTCAGTTGGCTGACAGCGTTTATGCAAGATGTCTCGAAAGTGTGTAAACAATCCAGATCAGTTTTGTTACGTTTGTGGTGATGTGACTTTTGCGTCTCAGAGACGGTCTATTACTCCACTAATAACAAAGGCGTATCAGCTTTATTTCGGTTGTAAACTAGGTGATCAAGACAAACAGTGGGCACCCCACATCTGCTGTAATACATGTGCTTCAAATCTGAGGAGCTGGTTAAATGGCACAGTCAGAATTAAATGATCTTGTAAGAGATTTAGAACTTCCAAAATGTAAGGCAAAGATACTTGGATCAAGACTGCAGCAGTGGAACTTGTTAGAAGACGATGTTTCGGTATGTGTTTTTCGTAAACGCCACAAAGACTTAGAACCATTTTTCAATATGGAGAATAACTTGGTTTTCTGCAGTAACATTAACGGCTTACTGGCGGCTTTAAATATAAACTATAACCCAGAAGAATGGAGATTGTTTATAGACAGTTCAACATTGAGTTTAAAGGCAGTGTTATTGCATATTGGAAATACTTTACCATCTCTTCCTGTAGGGTATGCAGTTCACATGAAAGAATCATATGACAATATGGAGTACCTATTGACATGCATAAAATACAATGAACACCAATGGCATATTTGTGGCGATTTGAAAGTTGTTGCACTTTTACTTGGGCTGCAGCTAGGCTACACAAAGTTTTGCTGTTTTTTGTGTGAATGGGACAGTCGGGCAAAGGCACTTCATTACACCAGACAAAACTGGCCTGTTCGTCAATTCCTAGAGCCAGGTCAAAAAAATGTACAGCATATGCCATTAGTAGATTCGAAAAAAAAATTATTACCACCACTGCATATCAAGTTGGGCCTAATGAAAAACTTTGTCAAGGCATTAGATAGAGATGGGTCAGCTTTTCAATACCTGCGGCAGAAATTTCCAAGACTAAGTGAGGCAAAGGTTAAAGAAGGTATTTTTGTTGGGCCACAGATTCGAAATATTTTGAAAGATACACAGTTTGAAAACACTTGGAATGATTTCCGTCTGGTGGTCACTAATTTCTTGGGAAATAGAAAAGCTGACAACTATAAAACCCTTGTCAACAATATGCTGTCATCGTATCAAAAGATGGGCTGTAATATGTCTCTTAAGATACATTTCCTACACTCACACCTGGACTTTTTTCCTGACAATTGCGGAGCCGTAAGTGATGAGCACGGCGAACGTTTTCATCAGGATATTTCAACAATGGAAAAAAGGTACCAGGGAAAGTGGAATCCTTCCATGCTTGCAGACTACTGTTGGACTCTTGGTAGAGATGCTCCAGAAACGATCCATAAAAGAACAGCAAAAAGACAGCGCATATAGTGATTCTTATAAGTATATGAATCTTGTTACTTTTTTTAATATATCCTTAAAAATAAAAAGTTTTTTTTCTAAACCGCAACTAATTTTTTTATTTCATTGTCATTTTTGGATTCAGCGCCCCAAAATTAACAAAGAAGTGCACTTTTCCCACAAGATACAATTAAAAAACTAAAATTTGTTGTCCAGTGTAATTTCAAGGCCTACCTATAATATTTGGTTTTTTGAAATAACTAAGACTTTGAAATGTCAATATATGAGACGTATTATACATTTTTGGAATCAGAATGAAATTTCAATTCATCTGTGCAAACATCCAATATGGCGTCTTTAATGAAAATAAAGTTGATGCTGGAGGACAAGAGACGAAACGTCATGTTGGAATTCCACTCATGCCATCTTGTAGACTAGAAAAAATGGCGATATTTGTGCGCAATTTATTTGGAAATCACACTGCAAAAAAAATGTTTTCCGGCGACTGTCTTGAAACGTAGTTTGATTATCGAAACTTTCGCAGCGGCATTTTTCTAGTTACCTAAATAAGCAACTTTTTCCCTATTTAAGTGAGTGTCGAATTGGAAACACTCTGTATAATACAAATTACAATTTACAAACTTGATTACGATTGCTCCAAATGGTTTTTGTACTGTATAAATTTGTTGCCCTCTTAAGTATAACATTTTGTAGGTTCAGATAGTTCTCTAACACCAGAACACAGTAACTCATTAGCAATATTGAGCAGAGGGTCTTCGTTTAGGCAAACTCTCAACGGGATGAGGAACCAGATAGACGATTATGTCAAGGAAGTGCCAATAGAACTATTTACGGTTAGCAAGATGGTGGTTATGAGCAATAATAATGCAAAAAAATCCCACGAAGACCATGAGGATTGACGAATTCACGTCTGCACCACTTTCATATATAATTTTGTAATAAGTTCCACTAAGTATGATGTAAATACACTAGTTTTATACGTATTAAGATTTCATGGTAATTAATTTTCTTATTTTCTCTATAATAAATTGCATTTATTTGAAACTGTTTCATTTTGAAAATAATTATTCAACATTTTATGGATTTATATATTGAAAAAGGATGCCGTAGCAGCAGAAACAATATACTAAGTGACATATAAATCCGAACACCCAGTTTAAATGGTTTTATTTTAATAAAATTTTGTATAAGTATTTAATGAAGCATAATAAGTAAATGATAAAAATTTCAAAATGATTGCACTGCTTTAAAGCCCTTTGACCTTTAATAATGTGTGGATGCACCCTGATGTGCTACGCATTCTCCAACGCGCCTAGGCATGCTTCTGATCAGGTGGTCAATGTCCTCCTGTGGTATCTCATTCCAAGCAACCACCAACTCCTCTCGAAGTGCTTCTAGAGTCTGAGGAGAACGTTGCAAATTGAGCAATCTCTTACCCATCATATCCCACACGTGCTCAATTGGGGATAAGTCGGGACATCTTGGTGGCCATGGTAACAATGTGACATCATTATGTTGAAAGAAGTCTATTGTGACTCTTGCAACATGTGGTCGCGCATTATCTTGTTGGAAAGTTGGATCTGCCAGGATGTCAAGATAGGGTAAAAGATGGGGTTCTAGAACTTCGTGGATATAACGCTGCGCGTTCATGTTACCTCTGATGAGATTAAAGGTGACCTGGAACCATAAGCTATAGCACCCCAAACCATAACTCCAACAGTGTGATGAACATGTCTTTCAACAAAAAACTGTGGATTCCTCCTTTCACCACGTCGCCTTCTAACCCTGGCACGACCATCGTGCATGCCTAAACAAAATCGAGACTCGTCACTAAAGACAATACTGTTCCATTCCTGATCCTAGAGTGACCGTTGTCTGCACCACTCAAGGCGATTACGTCGGTGTTCTCGAGTTAAAGGGAGGACCCAGTGTGGCCGGTATGAAAACAAGCCAAAACTTCTCATTCGTCGGTAAACTCTTCGCAGGCCAATAGGTCTTCCGTGTTCTGCAAACCATTCATTTGCAATGGACCTGGTAGTGGAGAAACGGTCCCTTAAGGCCAATAATCTTAGGCGGCGATCTTCACGGTCTGTTGTTCTACGGCGGCGTCCAGTGCCCCTTGCTCTTTGCGTACGGCCTTCTCGAAGCCATGCCTGACAACACCTAACCACAGTGTCTACACTTCTTTGCACTCCTGCAATTGCCCGAAAAGAAAGTCCAGCTTCCCGAAGTCCCACTATACGGCCCCTATCAAACTCACTAAGTTGACGAAATCGTACAGGTCTCCGTACTCTAGGCATCGTAACCGATCGTAAAGGATGTCAAGAACCAAAATCCGCCAACGTTGATTCTTTACTGCGGCTGAAATATTCATTTTTAGAGCGTTAGTGAATTAAAAAAAAGCAGTATAAAAACCGGAATATCCAACTGATAAGGCTGAAAATTTTTTCACTTGTTATTTACAGTAAGATAAATACATTCACCAACTTTTATTAAAATAAAACCATTTAAACTGGGTGTTCGGATTTATATGTCACTTAGTATAAAAAGTCACTATACAGAGTGACATAAAAGTCCAAGAACGGCCCTGTATTTTCTTGGTGAAGGTATTTTTGGAAAGGATAAAGTTTAAGTCTTCAATAACTTGCAGCAGGGAATTCTACGATGACCTTAATTTGACCTTGACCTCATTTCTTATGCCGGCATTCGAAAAAACAGAAAATTTTAAGTACAAACACAATTAAAGTCTAAAGTAAGGATGACCACTAAAGGTGAAATAAAAATCAAAAATGTGCTGCTAGGAACACATCTATACATCTGACAGGATTAGTAATGAAAATAACTATCAAGGTCAGGCCTGTAGTAAATTTTGACGAGTGGTCCTGGATTTAACCTTGAACTTAACCTTCAAGGTCATTTTAAGGTATTTTTTTCAAATAGAGGAACGCAGGAACAGCATTGGTTAAGAATCATTTGTAACGAGCCTTACTATCTGATCTTGCCATTTATTTTTGTCAATATTCTTGTGAGATTTCTAAAAGTTTTCCTAGCAGCACATTTGGCCTTTATGTGACCTCTAATTCTAATATACATTTGAAGATCAAATTTCCCACTCTCTGGATTATCGGCATCAAATAGGTGTTTCTTTTTGGAAAAATAGAGTTGATCTTGGAATGACCTTGAAGGTGAGGTTCCAGATCAAAACAAAGAGCACCGCTACTTGTGAAAGTTTACTAAATACCTGACCTTACTAGTTATTTTCATCACGACCTCCTGAAAGATTTCTAGAGGTTTTCCTAGCAAAACACGTTTGACCTTTAGATGGCACCCTGACCTTGAACTTCAATTTGTATTTGAACGTAAAATGTTTATAAATAAATAAAAATATGGGGATTTCCATTAAAAGAAAGTTGACTTTGAAATAACCTTGAAGGTAAATGTCAATGTCAAGTCCAAGGTCAGCATTCACTTCTTCAAAATTTGCCAAAGACCGGACGTTGATAATTATTTTCATCACTCATCCTGTAAGATTTATAGAGATTTTCCTAGCAGCACACATTTGATCGTTTGACCTTTAGTAGTCATCCTGACCTTGGACTTTAATTGTGTTTGAAGGTAAAATTTTCTGTTCTTTCCGCTGCCGGCCTCAAAAGCAGGGATTCCCGTTTGGAATAATAAAGTTTACCATTATTTGACCTTGAAGGTGAAGGTCAAAGTCACCGTTGAATTCCTTGCTAAAAGTTACTGAAAATCTGATCTTGATCTTTTCCAAAAATGTCTTACACGAGAAAAGATAGAGCCTTTCCGGCATGGGTATCATGTAAAAAACCTATAAAAGGTCAAGAAAAACCCTTAAGTTGTCATCTTGTAAACTAGTTAGTTTTTAGGGCGAAAACAGTCATTCCACGTTTGCTTACTAGGATCGTTGTGAACGTCCATCTATGAAGGAATCACTCAACTAAACCAGACTCATTATTGGTTGCATAGTTTTGTGAGGCTGAGTGATCCGTGTCTGTAGTTTTTATCTCTGAGAAGAAAGTTGGTTGAATATCAAGATCGCATCTGGATGATTATGTGTATTGGTCTGCATGTGTATAAAATCAGTGATATTTGCTGTGTGTGAAAATCATTACTGAATATGCTGCGAATGAAGTATATCTATTGGCTGTGCCCGATGGGTTATTTTTATCTTGTGCTCTCTGAAGAGAGGTTATGTTCAATGTTATAGATTACGAAAAACTGAGGAGAATTACGGGAGATCATCACCGCGCCCGCGTTGTGTGTAATTACTGTTAGCATGTATATGGCTTGTAATTCGACAGTCTACAGTGAATATAATTATTTCTTATCTCATTTTTGAAATTCATCAAATGCGTATATGTAATTTCCAGAATGGATAAGAAAAAGTGGATGCGCAACCAATTTCTAGCTTTGAATCTCAATTAAGTGTATTCAAGACAAGAACCCAATGTAATTATCATAAACACATACCACTTACAGCTTAGACCTCCAGTAATGCCATCTCAGAAGCATATTTTACATCACATCAGAGCCAAAGATTGATAACAAGCCTCACGACGTTTAGGCAACACGTACACAACTAACTGCTAAGTTGAGATCTTGTAGAAAAACCTACATAATGTCAAAAAAACAGCATAATGTCAAAAAAAATCGGCATAATGTCACTTTTCAAGTTACGTGATATCTCTGCCCGACTTTTGCGTCACGCTGTATGTGTCAAATTGAGTGAGATGGGTCTTACAAGAACAACTCATTTATTTATTTTTATCACGTTACTTTATTACTCGTCTAGTTATTTTCTAACAACGTCACTTCCTATGCTAATTCGAACATTTTCTACCACATCCAGATTCAAATATATTCCAAAGTTCACCTTGCCCTTAAATGCCCTTGAAAGAGTCGCTAATGGCTCTTTGGAGGCTTCGCCTGTTTCTTGATTTATGCATATCATCTGACATCTCGTACAGTTACCTACAACCTATATCACGAATCTTATTAATATACTAAGTGACATATAAATCCGAACACCCAGTTTAAATGGTTTTATTTTAATAAAATTTTGTATAAGTACTTAATGAAGCATAATAAGTAAATGATAAAAATTTCAAAATGATTGCACTGCTTTAAAGCCCTTTGACCTTTAATAATGTGTGGATGCACCCTGATGTGCTACGCATTCTCCAACGCGCCTAGGCATGCTTCTGATAAGGTGGTCAATGTCCTCCTGTGGTATCTCATTCCAGGAAACCACCAACTCCTCTCGAAGTGCTTCTAGTGTCTGAGGAGGACGTTGCAAATTGAGCAATCTCCTAACCATCATATCCCACACGTGCTCAATTGGGGATAAGTCGGGAGATCTTGGTGGCCATGGTAACAATGTGACATCATTATGTTGAAAGAAGTCTATTGTGACTCTTGCAACATGTGGTCGGGCATTATCTTGTTGGAAAGTTGGATCTGCCAGGGTGTTAAGATAGGGTAAAATATGGGGTTCTAGAACTTCGTGGATATAACGCTGCGCGTTCATGTTACCTCTGATGAAGATTAAAGGTGACCTGGAACCATAAGCCATAGCACCCCAAACCATACCTCCAACAGTGTGATGAACATGTCTTTCAACAAAAAACTGTGGATTCCACCTTTCACCACGTCGCCTTCTAACCCTGGCACGACCATCGTGCATGCCTAAACAAAATCGAGACTCGTCACTAAAGACAATACTGTTCCATTCCTGATCCCAGAGTGACCGTTGTCTGCACCACTCAAGGCGATTACGTCGGTGTTCTCGAGTTAAAGGGAGGACCCAGTGTGGCCGGTATGAAAACAAGCCAAAACTTCTCATTCGTCGGTAAACACTTCGCTTGCCAATAGGTCTTCCGTGTTCTGCAAACCATTCATTTGCAATGGACCTGGTAGTGGAGAAACGGTCCCTTAAGGCCAATAATCTTAGGCGACGGTCTGTTGTTCTACGGCGGCGTCCAGTGCCCCTTGCTCTTTGCGTACGGCCTTCTCGAAGCCATGCCTGACAACACCTAACCACAGTGTCTACACTTCTTTGCACTCTAACTGCAATTGCCCGAAAAGAAAGTCCAGCTTCCCGAAGTCCCACTATACGGCCCCTATCAAACTCACTAAGTTGACGAAATCGTACAGGTCTCCGTACTCTAGGCATCGTAACCGATCGTAAAGGATGTCAAGAACCAAAATCCGCCAACGTTGATTCTTTACTGCGGCTGAAATATTCATTTTTAGAGCGTTAGTGAATTAAAAAAAAGCAGTATAAAAACCGGAATGTCCAACTGATAAGGCTGAAAATTTTTTCACTTGTTATTTACAGTAAGATAAATACATTCACCACCTGATCAGAAGCATGCCTAGGCGCGTTGGAGAATGCGTAGCACATCAGGGTGCATCCACACATTATTAAAGGTCAAAGGGCTTTAAAGCAGTGCAATCATTTTGAATTTTTTATCATTTCCTTATTATGCTTCATTAAGTACTTATACAAAATTTTATTAAAATAAAACCATTTAAACTCGGTGTTCGGATTTATATGTCACTTAGTATACATAGTAATTAACATTTAGAAGAATGATCTGCGTACTTACATGTTCTACATCTTCAAATAAATACTTGTTGAGAACTTTACCTTGAAACGAAGTTTGCCTATAACAAATTCATCAGCATCATTTTCTGTGAATGATTTTCCTAGGTCCACAACAAAATTTGGTCTGAATCTCAAAACGGTTGTGTTTATTCGTTCAACAAAATTCTCATCGGGAATCTGATCCAGTAGCCATGATACACTTGCCGAATTTATCAATAAATATTGAGCTTTGTTTGCAAATGAGAGGCTCATCGCAGAATCTGAAAATGGAAGCCACAGTTAGAACCTATATTTTTAAATTATGAATACTACGAACGGTTTGACCAATCAAATTCTTAATGAAATTAAAAGTTCGCTATTCTCATTTCTGTAGTAGTAGTAGTAGAAAGATTTATTTAGCACATTTGGCTACATAAACAGAACAATTGTAAACAACTTAGAACTAGTAAATGCAAGCCATATGGTGTATGATGTAAATGCTGGGCAACCTATAATTATAGATTTAACAAGTGATTTCTCAATTTTACTTTCAATTTTGTCAAAGTTTTCTGGTCTTTTATCTCCGAGTATAATTTATTATATTCAATCAACCCTTGATGGAATACAGATTTGTAGCATATGTTATACTTTTTGGTCATTAAATGGAAGTCATCTTTATTTCTGGTATTATGTAAATGATGGTCGACATTTGATGATGTTAAATTAGTTAGACTTGATGGAAATATATTATTTTTTACTTTATAAATGAATATCATTACAAGATATTTGATAAAAAATTTTACATTGAGCCATTTTAATTTGCTAAGCATTTGCCTAATTGGAGTATATTTATCTTTATTTAGTATTATTCTCATGCACTTATTTTGTAAAATTTGCAGTCTTTCAAAAATGGAATTATTTGCTAAATATAGAATAGTCGAACAGTACAAGAAATTTGGAAGAATGATGGTATTATAGATAATTTTTCTGCTATATGAACTCAGACATCCAGAAACTCTCGATAAATATCCCACTTTACTACTAATCTTATTTATAACTTTTTCATAATGAATATCAAAAATTAATCGAGAGTCAACAAAAACCCCCAGGTATTTAAAATTTTCTGCGAATTCAATATCTTCACCATCAATATTCAGTTGAAAATTTGTACATTGTTTTTTTCCGATTAACAAGGCTTTCGTTTTACTTGAATTTAATTTTAGTCTGTTAGATGCTAACCATTTTGAGACAAGTTTCAAGTCTTCATTTATATAAGAGATACCAGTCTGAATGTTTTTAGTACTTATATAAATCATAGTGTCATCGGCGAAAATCTGAATTTTCCATTTTTTGACTATGGCAGGTAAATCATTTATGTATAAAATAAAAAGAAGTGGTCCCAGGATACTGCCCTGTGGAACACCCAACGTATTTTAAATTTTTGATGAAATAGTGTCATTAACTTTTGTAACTTGCATCCTTTTAGACAAATAATTTCGAAACCAATCTAAAACACTTCCTGTTATACCATATGCCTTCAATTTACCTAACAAAATATCTCTATCAATCGTTTCAAATGCCCTCTTCAAATCCAAAAATACTGCTATGACAAGTTCTTCTGAGTCTATGGCTCTTCTCCAATTCTCAGTTACCAACTGGAAAGCTGTTTCTGTGGAATATTTTTTTCGAAAGCCTGCTTGCGCCTCCACTAAAATTTTGTTTTCTTCTATAAACTGCATTAATTGGTCATGCACTATGGACTCTAATAATCTTTCAATGTCTGGTAACACATTTACTGGTCTCATATCGCTGCATCTTTTAGAATTTTTTATTTTGTGAACTGGTGTTATTGTAGAGCATTTAAAAATGTTCAGGGAAAGAAATGCTTCTCAGTGAACAATTGATCCAATTTAATACAGGATATCCCAAAATTTCGAAACAGTTTTTCAGCACGTTTTTAGTAGTCATTTCGGCACAGTTGTTATTTGATTTTAAACTGTTTACTTTTTTTCTTAGATAATTCAATGATACGCTGTGAAATTTTGAAAGTGTATGCAACATTTCCCCCTGGAAACTGATTTTCATATAGTCAGCATTGGCAGTACCCACAATATCAACAATACTTTCCACAAAATATTTATTTAGTTTGTTTGCAATCACCAAAGAATTTGTTTCGGTACCGTTTTCGAATTGAACTTGATTTACACAATCATGCGGCTTCGAATTTTAAAGTCTTCCACATCTTTACACTGTCGCACTTGTTATTATCGATTTGTTTATCGTAGAATTTCCTTTTTTCTTCTCTAATTACATATACACATTTATTCCTAAGAGTTTTATATACCTTCCAATCATCATTTGATTTTGTGAATATACATTTATTGTATTATTTGTCTCTCAAATTTTGAGCTCCCTTAATATTCTTGTTATACCAGGGTGTATTTTTTGTCGAGCAAATCACTTTTTTATCCGTTGCGAGATCTAAACAAGTTTTTACATTTCCTATTATGTTGTCATATATTTTTTCCATATTCTCACCAAAAATTCCAATAGCAGCCATCAAGTTCTCGTTCAAGTTTTTCATACTTAATAGTATTTACGATTTTCTCAATTTTTGTATCAGAAAAATGCCCTATCAAGGGCAGCATTGTCCAACTGTGATCGCTAACTTTAGGTGTATGTACAGCTTTAATCCCTGCACATTCGAAATTTACAATAACAAGATCTAACAAAGTCTCTGATAATGATGTTATTCTGGTACTCTCTTCAATTTTTTGCTTGAACCCATAGTTGTTTATGGTTTCTTTCAATTTTCTTGTTTTCATGCTTTTACCATAATAATTTAAATTAAAATCACCTAAAAGTTTTATATTGTTTCTAAAATTCCACATTTCTTCGCATTTTTCTTCAAAAAACTGTGCGGACCGAATCAACAAAGAGTAAGTCAGAAACTGCACGCATGCGCAGATCGCGCGCTAGCTCTATCTCTCTTACTCCCCTACAGAGGATCTATAAAAGAATTTCTCGAAAATTATGCTAAATAAAAGCGTGTTAAAAAACCTAAGATAAACACCAAAGATTCTATGAATTGGACGAGCTATAATTTGAGGCTGGTACCTTTATTATATTCGTCCGAATCACACTGCCTCAGGAGTCTCAATCCAGGCATTTCTAAGCACTCCGACAGCCAATCAGAAATCTCATCTCCACAGTCCCAACCAAGGACTCTGTCACCGCATACTTTACTCTGACACAAATGCATTTTCTTTTCTTCGACAAGATCACCAATGCCGATTTCAGCATCAGGAAATCCTACAACAAAATAAAGTAACAATAAGTTATATACAGGGTGATTCAGAAACCAGTGTGAGCCCGAAAATAACCTAATTAGGTTTCTATAAACTGCTCTCGAAAGTACTTGAAAATCAAGAATTACATCTACAAATAGTCTGCCAGGCAGACCCGCCTGACTTCGGCCTCCCATCATAACCATACATCCAGAACTGGCCGATACGATCGCTCCTTTGTTCTTAGGGTATCGAGGAGACTTTCCTAGTATCTACTAATCTTATAGACATATGCTTACCTTTAAATTTCAGTCTCATTTTTTTCTTAACACAGTCTACTTCTGGCATCAGCAAGCACATCTTCTTATTGTATTTTTGTGTTAGACTAACACCAGCCGAGTTTACTATCATCCATTCTCGATCATACTTCAGCCCTTTGGGCGTGAGTTCCCAACTTCCAGAAGCGGAAAAGGCACCACAAGATTTTATAGGATATAGCAGGATTTGTTGTAATGTACCTACTGTATTCCTTTTAATATCAATTACACTACTTTTATGACATTTAGTAACAACGTTGTGATTCACCGGATCAACAGAATTTGGTTCAACGCAATTTTTGGGAAGCTTTCTTGCCTTGGTTTGAACTGAAGGACTGAATAACCTGCGATAATTGTCATTGATTTGTTTCCAGTCTTTGGGATATTTTCTTGTTAACGGTAAGGCTACGAAACATGATTCAATCATGTTAAGAAACTTGTCGGCTTCTTCCTTAGTAGTCATATATCCGAATGAGATTCTCACCGATCCTGTAGGACATCCTTGTACTAGATCGCGTTGATCACCGCATACATGTCCTGCCTGAAATAATGGGAAATCATCTTGTTTTTCAAAAAAAAAGGGCTTAAGCTTAAGCTTTTCATCTTTATGGGTTGAAAAAGTAACTTATGGAACAATTGTGGTGGCAGTCGTAGATAGAATGTGCAAATGGTCGGGTACACAACCACACATACAGGGTGGCGCATCGAAAACGAAACAGACGCATTTACTGGCAGCTCAGTTAACACGTGTAGCCCCCTGGGCGGGGGTGACACTAACCCTAAAATCTTAAATGGAAAGGGGGGTCGAGTGATACCTTATTTTAAAGGTCTTTCAATTCGCTTTATACTGATGTAAAATACACGAGCTTCAGTTCAGTAGTTTTGAAGATTTATTGATTTAAAGCTTAAAGTAGACCTTAATGGGTACATCAGATTAGTTTGTACTACTTTCAGAAGAAATTTGACTAAAAGAATTTACTTAATAAGTAAATGATTTTCTTCACTACGCCCATGGTTTGTTTATCATTTTGTTGTTGAAAATAGCAATTGGAGCGTTTTCTGTGAAGAAAGATAAGGGAATATCTCATACTTATTTTAAATAGGAATTAAGTACATAGTTTGCGATTGATTTGACCAATCTTTGTTGCTAAAATAACTTGTAACGCTTTATTACATAAATTAACCATGGTATATTCCACAGCAGAAAGAGTTGAAATTATTGAAATATTTTTCGGAAATAATCAATCAGTGCGCTAATAGAAAAGCAGAAATATTTAATGAGCGACATGAGAACAGTAACGTGCATCGAAAAACATTATTTTATTTATTTCAAAAACTTAAGAATGGATTGCCTTTTAAGTTCGTTGCAAGCTTTAAATGTTCTCAATTTTGACTTTTGTGTGTACCTTCTTATAAAAAATGAAATGATATGGGAAAACACCAATACGACGATAGCTACCGGTTTCGAGCCAGAGAGCTTAAAATATTTTGAGGTAACGTTTTAATACCCTTCAAACTTCATATGGATCATTATTTTATAAACATTTAAACAAATTATCTACTTATTGATATTGAAATTATTCCTCTCAATAAAACACAGCTACTACTACGATATACCGCGCAGACAGACACCATGTTTGGCAATAATAAATATACATACAAGAATGTATCTGATACGATCAAATGTACGTTTATATTGTTTTAAAATGACAAATGTGATCACAATTCAATAGAAGATTGAGTACTAAATTTATTTTACCTCGTAGTGCTTTACTACTTCACTGGTATCTAGTTTTAAGCTGCGTTGACAAGCTCCGGGATTGCAAAAACATCCTGTCCTCAAATGGATTTGGTGTAAATTCGCCATATGTAATACCTGAAATAATTTTTTCCTTACATTTGGATTTCCACTTTTCCAAAAATTCTTGGACACTTCATAATTTGCCTAGTAGGCCAAGGTAAATGGGTATTTCTAAACTAATTTCGAAATTTCATTTAACATTTCTTAAAAAAAAACAATGAAAATATATCATTTTTTTGCAGAAATATAAAGTATTACTTTAGTGAGGTTCATTGAGAATGAAGGTCCTCCATATTTTTGTGTATAACATGTAGTAAAATAACTTTTAAAAAACTATGGAATGAGGGAATGACTGATAGGATGGGGGAATGATTTTTACAACAATTTGATACTGAATTTCAATAAAAACAAGTTAATTTATTAATAGATTTATAGAGATTTTTTTTATACTTTAGATAGCTTAGATAGTCCTTCTTCTCTGGGCACATCCTCGTATCTTCATCCTTCTCTAAGAAATGAACATCACGCTTAACTTTCAGCATTTTGGAGCTTTTGAAAAAATGTTTCGATCTATACAGGGTGTCCGCAAAGATGGGGTTTTCCTTTTCAGAAACAACTACCCTTGAAATAAAAAAGGTAATGTGTAGTGAAACGAGGGCGACCAAGTAAAAAAAAACATAAAGGAAAAAGTACTCACTCTCCAGTTGACGAGAAGGGCTAAGTACGTCTCTGCCCGAAATCATACCGCTCCTACAGAAAATGAAATCAGCTGATGCGCTACCGAGCAGACGCAGGCAAACAAGGAAGGCAAAATGTTGCGTAAAAAGTCTAGGTATTGCATCCCGTCCAATCGATTTGGGAGAATAAATGGTCCAATGAGCATACCGTTCACCATGCCAGCCGAAACATTCACCGAAAATGTTTGTTGAAAATGTGCCCGACGGACAGCGTGCGGATTTTCTACTGACCAAACATGAGTGTTGCGAAAGTTATTCACCCCATTACGCGTGAACGTAGATTCGTCTGTCACCAATACGCACTTCAAAAAGTCCGGATTATTGTCATGTTGATGCAACAACCACTCACAAAACCGCACTCTTGCTGGAAAATCGTCAGGTTGAAGGGCTTGTACACGTTGGACGTGAAACGGATACAGCCCCTCTTCACGCACACTTTAGTTTTTGATTCTTGCACTTCTATAGCCACGTCTCTAGTGCTTGTTGTTTTTTGAAACGCAATCGATTATACGGGTTCGTTTACCTCTACACGCGTGACCGTAACCGTCGGTTGAAGGTTGCATACTGACCTGACCCACTGACCCCGACCCAGTTCTGTCGTCGGGTTGAGCAGTGTCCTAGTACCACTCGGGGATGTCGCGGCTACAGGACGGTATTCAGATATTTTTGATGTTGCAGAGCCCTTTATCTCGGTTCCCTTAAGACATTGGTGTATATGGTACTGAGAAAAATTGCTTGTTTTCAAGATCTACACGTCGTGTAAAGGAAAACCCCAACTTTGCGGACACCCTGTATAGCAATTTGTATCTTTTGTACTAATTGCACCTTCAACGTTTTGTAATATTTTTTCTTTTCCCCATGTTTATTTCCAAGATCTTCATAGATATTCTTGAGGTCCGTTGACAGTGCTTCTCCGAAAATGAGTCTTTTTCTTACAACGTAGGAACTTGTATATTCTTTAAAAGCGAAGGCGCTTTAGTTGCTGGAGAGTTTGTGTCAGTATTTTTAGTTTTCAAGTTTGACTGCGTTCCTTACTTTATTTTGCAAACTTTTGCAGAATAGTCGCGCATTCTATGTCTATTGAGAGCAGACAAATTCTCTGCTCTGTGCTGCTTGGTGGGGGTGTTTCTTCAACTATTATCTGTAAATTTGTGTGTAATGTAACTCGCTTTTCCCTATAAACTTTACTATTCTTTTTCCATTGTTTTCGTTTTTGGCTAGTTTCTCTTGCACTCATATAGGGTTGTCCAATAGGGACGCAGGAAAGTAAACGTCAATTTGACATAGACGCCATCTTTGTTTTCTGTCACCGACATGTCATTTTGTTAGTTGAATGTTTACCATTGATGGCTATGGAGTCGTATTCGATTGAAGACCGCATTAAAGTTATTCAAGAGCACTACAAAAATGGTGCAAAAATAAAAAACACGTTTCGCGCGCTTCGTGAACATTTCGGTCGCAACAACCGCCCAAACGAAACAACCATCGGTCGTCTGGTGCGTAAATTCGAGGCAACAGGTTCTGTGGCAAATCTGCCAGGCTCTGGCCGGCCAAGGAGCGTTCGCACACCGGAAAATATTGCTGTTGTGAAGGAGAGTGTGAGAGACGATCCGAAACAATCAACAACGCGTCGATCCCAAGAATTGGGCATTTCGAGAACCAGTTTGCTGCGCATTCTCCACAGGCATTTGAATGTACACGCCTACAAGATCCAATTGACGCAAGAGCTGCGTCGGGCCGACCATTTTTCGCGCCGAACGTTCTCAGATTGGCTCCTTGAACACCGCCAAATTGATGCCAATTTGTCATAAAAAATCATGTTCAGCGACGAAGCGCATTTCACTTTGAATGGGACGGTAAACAAGCAAAACTGCCGCATCTGGGCGAACGAAAATCCCCGTGAGTATCAAGAGCAGCGGATGCATCCTCAAAAAGTGACTGTGTGGTGTGCATTGTGGTCAAAAGGCATCATCGGACCTTACTTTTTCGAAAATGCGGCCGGGGACGCCATTACCGTCAATTCTGAGCGATATCACGTGATGATAGAGGACTATTTTTTGCCGCAACTTGAAGGAATGGATATGGACGATGTTTATTTCCAGCAAGACGGTGCAACATGCCACACAACCAACGTCAATATCCATCGATTGCAGTCCTTCTTCGGTGATCGCGTGATTTCGCGCAGAGGAAATGTGCCATGGCCACCAAGATCGTGCGATTTGACTCCCTTGAACTTCTTTTTATGGGGATATTTGAAAAGCAAAGTCTACGTCAACAAACCAGCCACCCTCCAAGAACTCAAAAACAACATCATTGCCGAGATAAATGCCATAGAACCGACCATGTTGCAAAATGTCATTGAAAATTTCGACCATCGCGTGGACGTCTGTAAATCCAGTCGTGGTGAACATTTGAGCGATATTATTTTTCCTACATAAATGGTATAAATGAACCTTCAAAATAAAGTACCCAACTTGATTTGAATATCAATCTTTCTTGTTTTAATATGCGTTTACTTTCCTGCGTCCGTTTTGGACAACCCCATAGAACTTATTGACTTAACTTGACCTTTACTCTTCTTCTTTAAATACTTTAATCTTTCTTTTTCACGCAAAGCGTCTAAAGGCTCAGCATTAATTTTCATTTGTTCTCGCCTGTTTCTGTCGTACTCCTTGTTTAATTTGTCTTCTTCTTCACTTAACTTCTTCATTTTCCCCATTCTTGATACCATCTGTACTTAAACAATAACACCCAAACGACAATTTTATATGTATAAGCAAAAATCATTCCTTCATATAATTTTCGTTGCATCACTTTCTAATACAGTGAGGGAATGACATTGAGGGAATGACGGATTTGCATAAACCATCACTACATCACCTCAAATTGATTTAGCATTTTATGAATGCATTTTAGTTCCCAAAACAAGAAAAAAAGCATTAACTTACCTTTTAATATAAACAGTGACTTAATGACACAGAGAAATGGAATGTTCTAATTATTGAAATCCAATACTTTTTTGCAGCAACTCTTTTCACTATTAAGAAAGTCCGCCATGTTGACATTATTAGCAGTATTGCCAAAGTTTTAAAAACATAACAGCTGTGTTCAAAAAGATCAAATGGTGTGACCACAAATCGAATTTTTATAATGGGTGAGGGAATGATTTCATTTCATGGGGAAAGCTTGGCTATACAATCCATAATTATTTATTTTAGTAATATTCAATTTATAAGAATATGAACAGATTAGATTGTATATATTTTTTTATTATTAACTTCAGACCAAGGGACGAGATGAGGGAATGACTTTTAGAGTGATCAATTAATCGAATTTTCTTTGTGTCAATATAATATCTAAATTTTTGCTTTTAAAATATTAGTGTAGATACTTATTGATATAATACAAATGTTAAATTGGTGGTAACACCGTGCAACTTAGCATCAATGGCTCAGGACATGAATTCGAAATTTGCTGAGAAATACCCAAATATGGGGATTTTGTATAAGGAAATCCTACAATTTGTGCGACAGCAGGGTTGAAGCATCTGCCGGCATTTTTCTGAACGCGTAGATCGAAAATCTCGAAAACCATCGATCATAATACAGTGAAAGCTCTCCTTGCGGACAGCTCCTATAAGCGGACATCTCTTTTATCCGGACAAAGTTCCTGGAACCGAATTTCAGCCATCAATTTTCAATGTTAAATGCATTCCGATAAACGGACGCTCTTATAAACGGACGCGGACACTAGATTTTCCTGTATGTGATCAAAAAATCTCCCATAAGCGGACGCGAAACTCTAATACCCGGACGATTTTTTAGTTCCGCTTATTGCAATGCACATATCTACATACATAAAATTCGGTAATTCCCCGATTTATATTAGGTGATTCCCCATTTACGCATTTCGTTGGGTAGCCTGTATCTAATCTTGTGGCTTGTCTTCAGTTCAGGCAAATTCGTAGTTGATTGAGTTACGTATTTTATTATTGTAACTGTAAAATGGAACCAAAAAAAAAGGATGCTCTCGTTGAAGGAAAAGATGGAAGTTGTTAACGTATTAGACAGAGAAAGTGTTTCAGTTCGTCATTTGGCAAAGAGGTTTAATATTGGGAAAACGCAAGCAGCTGAAATTGCCAAAAATAAGGAAGATATCAGGAGTAAATGGCAATCAGGAACTAATATAAATCAAAAGAAGGATTTTTTAAAAAAGGAAGGTTTTGCTATAGACAAAACATGTTTTGAGTGGTTTGTGAAAGCTAGAAGTCAGAACATTCCAATCTCAGCGCCGTTAGTGAAAATGAAAGCTAAAGAAATCGCCACTACTTTGGGCTATAATAATTTCAGTGCGTCCGACGGGTGGCTGCAAAAGTGGCGCAAGAGACATAGTGTGAGTTTCAAATGCATATCTGGCGAAGCTGCTGCAGTAGATCAAGTTGATGTGTCACAATTTTTGGAGAAACTTCCGTCCATGTTGCTTGGCTACAAACCAGAAGATGTGTACAACGCAGATGAGAGTGGACTTTTTTTTCGCGCATTGCCCGACAAAACTCTGTCCTTTAAAGGAGAAACATGTGTGGCTGGAAAGTTGTCTAAGGATAGACTAACCATTTTATTCTGTGCAAATATGGCCGGTGAAAAATGCGATTTGATTGTGATCGGGAAAGCGGCTCGTCCCCGTGCTTTAAAAAATGTTGCTATTAAGGATCTACCAGCGACTTGGAAATCCAACAAAAAGGCATGGATGACCCGAGAAATCATGTCTGAGTGGTTAGTCGAATTCGACCGGAAAATGAGAATCCAAAAAAGGCAAGTTCTTTTATTTTTAGACAATGCATGCTCTCATCCTCGTGATATGAAAATGAAAAATGTGAAAATTATATTTTTACCGCCAAACACAACTTCTGTTTGTCAGCCCATGGATCAAGGTGTCATACAGAACTTTAAATTTTATTATCGGCACTTGATTTTAAAACATATTTTAACAAAAATTGACGATGGTCAAAGCTTATCTGAGCTTACAAAGTCTATCAAGGTGTTAGAAGCTTTGTATTTTATAAAAACAGCATGGAATAAAGTAAATTCCTCTACAATTAAAAACTGTTTTGGCAAAGCTGGATTCAGAAAAAGTGAATGTAGCTCAGAATTTGCTAAGCAAAATTATTGCGATGCTGAAGACGATCTGCCCTTAGCGACACTTGCTCAGTTACTGTGACATGCCAAACATTTAGGAGTAGCAAATCCCCAGAAAGTAGATGATTTCCTGGCCATAGACAATAACATAACAACAGAAGAAAATGCCATTGGCATCTTTTCGAATTTGGATGTAGAAAGCCCAGGCCAACTTGAATATGGTAGTCCAAACGACTCAGAAGAAGAAGTGGAACTGGTGGACTCACTAAGCGGTTCAAAAACGATAAGTTCATATGGGGAAGCTCTAAATCATATTTCTATATTGAAAAAATTTGCTAAAGATGATTTCACTGCATTTCAACATTTGAAAAATTTAGAAAGTTATTACGAAAATTGTCTCCTTCAGCAAAAGATGGTGAAATTTCGTCAGACAAACATTTTAAACTTTTTTCAACAAGCTAAAGAATAATGTTTTTTTAAATTCTCGTACCATGTATTGAAGCATTTATGTTTTTGTATGCGTATATGTACATATATTATATAGATATATAGCATAAATACATACTTTAAAAATGTGGCGAGTTTCTGTTTCATTTTTCTCATGATTATAATACCTCATTTCCTCATGGTTATATACCCCGTTATTTATACTCTATACTTACATACTCTCTTTTAAAACGGACACCTCCCATAAGCGGACAAAAGTTACGGAACCGTGAGTGTCCGCTTATGGGAGCTTTCACTGTATATGTAAAAGTTAACCATTTTGTAGAGAATTAAATTCTGTATCATTTCGTATCCACAAAATTATTCATATAGTCAACACGTTACGAGAAATTTGAAAATAATGATATTTTCGCTCGTAATGGCTAAAATCTAAGAGTATCAAACACAACTGCAGCAATTCACAGTCTAACTTGCTGCCACATCTAGTGTATTCAGTCAATATTCTTCTCTTGAAACAAATTTTTAAACATGTTAAACAACAAGTTTTGCTTTTCAAGCCCAATTCAACATACTAAGTGGATCTTTCTGTGATAAATTCCTTTTTGGAATAATAAAACTAAATTGAATGAGTGTTTTGTTAGAATTAAATGTTACCTCCGAATAGCCGATATATTCTCCATTGGGTCTCAATAGGTTAAAATTCACAATAGCTCCCTGATGAGATCTGTTATCGAACACAGTGTCGTGATATAATACTGCAACCGGTTGGCCATTCGAATGATGCATCGTGATCAAATTTCTATAAGTATACTGCGCCAAACTGAACACATGTTTTGATATTAGATCAAAATTCAAACCAAGCCTGCGTATTGTATCGAAGCCATGCTTCACAGCAAGAATGGACAGAAATGGTAATGTCCCATCTTCGAATCTGAAAATTAAAATACTTGGTTTTCCACAGTTGCTATTAGATTAGTAGAATTAGAGATAAACTGCGATATAAAATCCCACATCCCTATAAAAATGTCAATACAGTGGACCTCCAGTAATCCAACAAACATTATGCAGGGCAGTGTCGGACTATCGAATTTGTCGGAATATAGAGCAATGCCTAAACCCCCTATAGTCCGGAATTTTTTACAAAAGAGTACCTTGTAATCCGACAAATTACATATCCAATGGTAAGATTATATATGTTATGTATATGTATGTACTTTGAAGTACAAATCATACATAGTTTATGTATGTCGAATTTAGTAAATTAAATAACAATAGAGAGCTTACGTTTTATTATAAAATTAAGCATAAATGCACATACATATGTACCAAAATAATCAAGAAACTCATTAATAAATTTATCAAATTACGAAGCTTGGAAATATTCATCAATTTTTTTTTGTTTAAGGTTGTTATAACGCGAGATCAGAGCTTTGTCCCTCAGTCTTCTCAAAAGTAGAAGTTCCTTGTATGATGTACCATTATCTTCAGCCCATTGTAAACCTAGCTCAAAGGCGTTAATTGCGTCTTGTGCTGTGACTTGTGGAGCAGTTGCAATCACGTCGTCGTTATTTTCCTGATTGTTTGTTGTATAATTAAAAACCTCTTTTATAATCTCTTCGTCAGACATTTCATGAAAAATATTTTCCTCTTTATCCATTCCACGGCACCAGATTTCCAAATCTTCCGGACTTATATGTGTTTCAGTAGCGACTTGTTCTATAACTTTCGAAGTTACACTGATTTGTGGAACGTTGCTAGGAGTGGTGACTATATCTGGCCATAACTATTTCCAAGACGATTTAATGATGACGGTAACGCATTCCACGACTGACAAAGAGCAAAAACCAAGTCTTTCATATTAAATTCTTTTAAAGTTTTTTCTATTGGTTGGTCTTTTGATACGGCTCTCAGAAGTAGGTTTTTCTTATAGTCTTGCTTGACAAACTGAATGATATTCTGGTCCATTGGTTGAACCAGTGCAGTGCAATTTGGCGGAAAAAACATCGCAGTGATGCATTTATCCTCAGATGTTGGTTCTTCTTCAGACGGATGACCGGGAGCGTTATCAAGAAGCAACAACGCTTTTTGAGGAAAATTATGATATTTTAACCATTTTCTAACTTCAGGTACGAAGCATTCATCAAACCACTTTTTGAAAAGGTCTTTTGTCGTCCATGCACTTTTTGTCCGTAATAGTGTACAGGTCAATGTTTTTGAATGCTAGTGGTTTATTAGATTTCCCAATGACCATCGTCTTTAGCACGTGTGTGACCGCAGCGTTAGCACATGGTAGTATGGTTACACGCACATACTTTTCATCCAGGTACGGATTTTTCGTTACAAGAAACGAAAGTTTTGTTAGGCATCACACGCCAAACAAGCCCTGATTCGTCTGCATTGTACACGTGTGACGGGTCAAGATTTAAATCGGTCACCTTTTGCAAAAATCTTAATTTAAAGGGCTCTATGCAGGTGGCATCGTTAGAAAGTTTCTCTCCTGTAATAGTCATTAAACGTATGCGATGACGACTTTTTAAAACGTTCTAGCCATCCTTTGCTGGCCACAAAATCATCTTTTTTGTTATTTCCTTATAAAAAAACTTAGCTTTCATGGTCAACATGGGACCTGAAATTGGCGCATGCCTATTTCTTTCCTGAAGAAACAACATGTACAAAGCTTCTTCCACTTCTGGATGTTCAGCTTTCTTGAGTGTCTGTCTCTTGCCTGGCCCGCAGTCAGTAGTTGACACGAACTTCTTAATCTTCTCGTGGTTTCTTTTAATGTCATAAATTGTAGATCGGCCTACGCCGTATTCACTTGCTAAACTACTGAAAGTTTCATTGCGATTTAAGCGGTCTAAAATATCACATTTTCCTTTAATTGTCAATGTTTTGTGCTTTCGCTTCTGAGTTTGTGATGACATTACTAGGTACTATACTTAATACACAATGAATAAATAGTAAACAATGATCGCACGCTAGGCCGTACCGCTATCACAAGTAGTCAAACTCAAACTAAGTAAAACAATGCTTACGCGTCGAGCACGATAGCGGTGGCGCGTAGAAGTTGTAACCTGTTCAAACCTGCGAGATCTACATTAGCGAAGATTGTCAAATACGTATGTATGTAATATTCAAAGACATGTCGGATTACAGGGGGCGCCGGATTAGACAGGGACCGGATTATCGGGGGTCCACTGTAGACCTTTTTTGTCACAAGCTGAATATAATTTTCTTCTCTGTGATCATATACAATGATGCTTCATGCTTTTTAGCAATCAAAAGTACCACCCTCAACTACTTATAGGAGGAAGAACCACCTCTTCGCAACCCTTTCTGTGCTTAAAGCATTAATAATACATTTCCCAAAGAGTATATAATCAGTTTTGTTAACATGGATTTTTCGAAATGTACTACTACGAGGGATGTCTTTTAAGTTTTGCATATAGAAACATAGTAAGCCGCGCGGATCGAACGTCAGTACTGAATCTTAACCTCACTCTTTAGTAAACTACTAGTAAACTACTACAGTGTGGGTGCACCAAACACCGGCAGTCAACCAGGAAAACGTCGATGCTGTGCGCAAACTCATCATTGAAGAATGACATGTGACATATCGCGAGATTGAGGCGTCCTTGAAGATCTCAAAGACCTCAAGTCAAAAAATTTTGCATGAAGAATTAGAAGTAAGAAAATTAGTTTCCCGTTGGATACCCCACCTGTTGACTGAAGAGCAGAAAGCAGCCAGGGTTAATTGGTGTCAAAAAACGCTTGACCGTCTCAATTCCGGAAACTCAAAAAATGTGTAAAGCATTGTTAGTGGTGATGAATCGTAGATTCACTGTTATGAACCAGAAAATAAACGACAGTCGGCTGTTTGGGTGTTCCAAGGTGCAGAAAAAGCCAACAAAAATCATCCGTTCTCGAAGTGTTTCAAAAAAGATGGTTGCGACATTTGTGTCAAAAGCGGGTCATATTGCAACAATTCCTCTTAATGAGCAAAGAACTGTTACTTCGGATTGGTATACCACCATTTGTTTGCCAAAAGTCATCACCGAGCTTCGAAAAATCAACCCCGAAAGAAGAATCAGCCTCTACCAAGACAATGCAAGCTCGCACACAGCTCAAAAGCAATTTTCCGACCTGCGTGAAGAAACTGGACAGTTTTCGGACTGACACGGACCTGGCGATCTAATCAGCAAAAACGTATAATTCCTCCATAGGTGCACATTTTGCAGGTTTGCAGAAACGTTGGAATAAGTTGTTAAAGTCCACGGGGATTATGTAAAGAAGTAAAGCACTTTTAAACCATAAATCGCAGTGAGCTATTGTCAGACAAAGAACTTTTCACCCTACCCTCGTAGTAGCGTTTAGCAAACACACCTTTGATAATACATTTACGTGTACTGAAACACCATTCGCATCGAGAGAGTTCATGAAAGTGTAATGGTGCGCCCTGAGACGTCTACCAGACATCGTTCTCAAGAACTGGGTATTCGTCGCACGTCATATGCACTATTTTAAAAACAGACTTGCATTTGCGGCCATACAAAATTCAGTTAACCCAAGAACTACAGCCTAGTGACCATGAAAGTCCACGACAATACAGTGTTGCAATATTGCAGCTTAATACCCAAAATAACGATTTTTACCAACACCTGATAATGGGCCACCCTGTACCTATTGCTTCCATAGCACAGACAAACATCTATCTTTTTTGCAAACCAAATATTTACGAGGGTGGTCCCAGAAGTACCCGACCCAGCGAAGAAAACACAAAATAATAATAAGTTCGATACCCTTTTTATAATAAGAACTGTCTTGCTCCTCAAAATAGCCATTAACTGCCGACATCACTTCTTCATCGCTGGAAAATCTTTGACCACTGAGCCATTTTTTCAAGTTTGGAAACAGAAAATAATCCGAGGCGGCTAAATCTGGTGAATAGGGTGCATGAGGTAGCAACTCAAACTTAAATTCGTTAATTTTCTCCATTGCAATAACGGATTTGTGAGCTGGTGCATTGTCTTGATGAAACAAAACTTTCTTCTTAACCAAATGCGGCCGTTTTGCTTGATTTCATCGCTCAAACGTTGCAATAAGTTCGCATAATACTCGCCGTTGATAGTTTTACCTTTTTCAAGATAGTCGATGAAAATTATCCCACGCGCATCCCAAAAAAACCGACGCCATAACCTTGCCTGCAGATGAAACGGTCTTCGCCTTCTTTGGAGCCGATTGTCCCTTTTGGGTCCATTGTTTTGATTGTTCTTTTGTCTCGGTTGTGAAGTGATGGACCTATGTTTCTTCCATGGTTATGAAACGACGCAAAAATTCTGCTTTGTTGCTGTGAAACTTCGCTAAATACTCAATTGAAACATCTTCACGACACTGTTTTTGCTCGATTGTGAGCAATCGCGGTACCCATCTTGTACACAGCTTTCTTATGTCCAAATATTCAGATAATATGCGATGAACCGCACTTTTGAAATGCCTACTATGCCCGCTTGCTCGCGCACTTTCAGTCGACGATCATTAAGTACCGCTTTGTGAATTTTCTTCACCATTTCTGGAGTCGTCACCTCATTTGGTCGACCACTGCGATGCTCGCCTTGGCAGCTCAAACGGCCTCGTTTAAACTCTGCTACCCAATATTTTACAGTTGTAAACGAAGGAGCAGACTCATCCAGTTCATCTTTTATAATGGTTGGGCTGAGGCCTTTGAAATAAAAGTATTGTACCACATAACGATGACCAATTTTCTCCATTCTCACAAATTCACCGAAAACGTTCAGTATTGTTGGCTGCCAAACAAATACTAAACAACGTGGCGTCCTCAAACTTGACACATATGCTTTATAGATTGCATACTTTCTAATACAATGATATTTTTCAAACAACTATCGCCATCTCTAGTCAGGCCGGGTACTTCTAGGACCACCCTCGTATTTAATTCAAAATTAATATTGTTGCTTACCTTTCATGTAGTCTATTTCTCGGTACCATAACATTTGGGAGCTTAGCGCCATTTGCACCGTACCTCCACCAAAATATTTCTTCACGAGCATTTCTTCGCTCGTCTTCTTCACCAAAAGCGCTCCTAATCCGGTGGGATACCCAAAAAGTTTGTAAAACGATATACACACAAAATCTGGTTTCCATAACGAAAGGTCCAAATGATTCGTGGATACGTAACAAGCACAATCCAAAACTACGTACCAGCGCTTGCAAGGTACTTTTACAAGCTTGTTAAGCTTTCCAGCTTTTACCCTTTCAATCCAAGATAGCGGAAACTTCGTTCCTGAGAAGTTACATTGAGCAGGATATACAAAGAGACCATTACCAGCATCACTTAGTGATGAGGTTTCTTCGCTATGATCTTCGATTTCGAAAGCATCTTCAACTTTCACCTCGGTATATCGTTTGGAAAAGCACCTCATTCCAAGAACTGATGTGTGGTTGTGCTGGAGGTATGCCAGCGTGCCATTTTCTCCATAATCAAAGCATTCTGCGATCGTCTTCAGAGCTGAGGTAGCACCAGATGTAAATACAATTGAATACTCCTGATCGTTGGTATTGAAATGATCTAAAATACTAATTATACTTCAAACAGACTGTAATATAAAATTAATGAGAGACAGGTCCAAACGAAGAAGAATTGTGACTGAGCTTAGTTTATAACTGAAATTTTACATGTTAAAATAGACCAGATGAACACAGTATTTGTGACATGACAATTTTTTGCTTGTATCTTATGTATTTTGAGACGCTTAAATCAAATCTAAAAACAGAATTTCTCGGCGTTGATGCGATGACGCACATATATAATGTCAAGACCGGTCTATTCATGTTTATTATATGCGAGCTCTATGTTTAGAGGGCATATTGCGTTTATTAGTCTAATAGCAGCCGAGTCAGTTATGTTTTCTGTGTTGAAGAGTACTGATATGTTCTGAGTACTGTTAACTTTTGTTAAAAGGGTGTGTGTTGTTTTTAGTTTATTGTGATCGAGACTAGCTTTATGGACAATGCCTAGAAATTGTGTAAATAGAGCGAACAGTTTTTTGTTATGTGTGTGGAGAGCTAACTTTTAAATCCCAAAAACGTACTTTTACTCCCCTTGTGTTGAAAGCATATGAACATTATTTTGGAATTAAAGTTGGCGACCAAGATAAACTATGGGCCCCTCATATGTTGTAAGACTTGCGTAACGTTGTTAACAGGTTAGTTAAAAGGCGACAATCGTAAAATGCCCTTTACGGTATCAATGGTTTGGAGAGAACCGAGAGACCATACTACTGATTGCTATTTTTGCTTCATAAATATTAAAGGTATTGGACCAAAATCGAAACATACTGTTAAGTATTTTTACACCATCAGCTTTGCGGCCCGTAAGCATAGTGATGAACTTTCCGTCCCAGTTCCACCAGAATCTTGGACTTTGGATGAAAAAGTCGAATCCACCGATTCTGAATGTGATGGTACAGAAAGCGTAAAAATTTCCGATCCTTCGTTTGACCTGCCAGGATGTTCAACAGCGCCGCATTTAATCACACAGGCAAACTTAACTAAATTTTTATGAAATAGTAGAGCTTAAGTGCTGGTATAAGTTATCATGGATGACAAGATCTTCAGTGAAGCTACATATATTTTTTGCTGCAAGTATTCGCTTATTCCTGCATAAAAATTTGCTGCAGGGATTTGTTATTGTCAAGAATCATCGATTTTCAAATTTGTGTTCTACTGAAAAATGCATAATCGTAAATTGAGATTGGAAATGATAGTAACAACTTAGCCTTTGTAGTGATTAACATACAAAAAAAATCTGCAAAATGTTCAACAATTTAAATTTATCATTGTCACGATTATTCTAAATGTTATTTTCTTATCAGAGCAACGTTGTAACAAATTGAAAATATGACGCCCCTTTCTAACAGGCTTTTCATTCCCTACACATCTGCTGTCCACTTATTCTAATTTTTCATACTGTTTTCAACACACAGGAGAATGTGATTTTTTCAACTTTGATGTTTAATAAAACAAATCGTTAACGATTTTTTTATCGACAGATAAAGGAGAAGGAACCTTTTCAGTTACACTGATGCATATATACTAAGTGACCTATAAATCCGAACACCCAGTTTAAATGGTTGGTGAATGTATTTATATACTGTAAATTAACAAGTGAAAAAATTTTCAGCCTTATCAGTTGGACATTCCGGTTTTTATACTGCTTTTTTTTTAATTCACTAACGCCCTAAAAAATGAATATTTCAGCCGCAGTAAAGAATCAACGTTGGCGGATTTTGGTTCTTGACATCCTTTACGATCGGTTACGATGCCTAGAGTACGGAGGACCTGTACGATTCGTCAACTTATTGAGTTTGATAGGGGCCGTATAGTGGGACTTCGGGAAGCTGGACTTTCTTTTCGGGCAATTGCAGTTAGAGTGCAAAGAAGTGTAGACACTGTGGTTAGGTGTAATGTCAGGCATGGCTTCGAGAAGGCCGTACGCAAAGAGCAAGGGGCACTGAACGCCGCCGTAGAACAACAGACCGTGAAGATCGCCGCCTAAGATTATTGGCCTTAAGGGACCGTTTCTCTCCACTACCAGGTCCATTGAAAATGAATGCAGAACACGGAAGACCTATTGGCATGCGAAGTGTTTACCGACGAATAAGAAGTTTCGGCTTGTTTTCATACCGGCCACACTAGGTCCTCCCTTTAACTCGAGAACGCCGACGTGATCGCCTTGAGTGGTGCAGACAACGGTCACTCTGGGATCAGGAATGGAACAGTATTGTCTTTAGAGACGAGTCTCGATTTGTTTAGGCATGAACGATGGGTCGTGCCAGGGTTAGAAGGCGACGTGGTGAAAGGAGGAATCCACAGTTTTTTGTTGAAAGACATGTTCATCACACTGTTGGAGTTATGGTTTGGGGTGCTATAGCTTATGGTTCCAGGTCACCTTTAATCTTCATCAGAGGGTAACAAGAACGCGCAGCGTTATATCCACGAAGTTCTAGAACCCCATCTTTTACCCTATCTTGACACCCTGGCAGATCCAACTTTCCCACAAGGTAATGCCCGCCACATGTTGCAAGAGTCACAATAGACTTCTTTCAACATAATGATGTTAACATTGTTACTATGGCCACCAAGATCTCCCGACTTATCCCCAATTGTGCACGTGTGGGATATGATGGTAGGAGATTGCTCAATTTGCAACGTCCTCCTCAGACTCTAGAAGCACTTCGAGAGGAGTTGGTGGTTGCCTGGAATGAGATACCACAGGAGGACATTGACCACCTGATCATCCACACATTATTAAAGATCAAAGGGCTTTAAAGCAGTGCAATCATTTGAAATTTTTATCATTTACTTATTATGCTTCATTAAGTACTTATACAAAATTTATTAAAATAAAACCGTTTAAACTGGGTGTTCGGATTTATATGTCACTTAGTATAATTCCTCCGCAAAATCCGTATTTTTTACAAAAGATCTGTTTTTCAATAAAGTTTGGATATGCTATTTGCAGTTCAACACTTTTAGGAAGCAAATGTTGAAAATTAAGCTAGAACCAAGTCATTTCATTAACAACAATTTACTTCAAGGATCCTATACCAAGAAAGGTTCGGATTTGAGTGTCTCTTACCGAAAACGAACCAAGTCGACTGCATCTTCTGTAAGTTTACCAGACATGTTCATAGAATGAGGATTGTCATAAATATTGGAGGTGAGTTCCGTGAAAACATGCTGCATTTGTTTTTTCTGAATACAATGTAGCTCCTGCATGGTCCAAGTAAATATTTTCTGAAATAAGTTTGCAATCATTACAAACCCGATGACCATTGTCTTGCTCACTGTCAACAACTTCAAAACCTTCACCTAGCTATTAAATGACGGACTGTTCCTGAACATTTTGAGTGTAAGCAAGGCCAAATTTTTAAAGGATTATAATTCATAATTTTTTTAATATTGACATCTCTTTTCAGTCGTATTTAGTCTAGTTTTATGGACAACAATTCGTAAATATTTTATTTATTGGTCGGATGGTCATATTTAGATGGTGAAAAACAGGACACCATGATTATTTGACCGAATAAAACCTCATACAGGGTGACAGGTAAATAGGTGTAAAACATTTTAGGAGGTGATAGTACAGCTCCTTTGCTATCAAAATTAGTATATAGTACCATACCCTATATTCAAAGGTTAAAAAAGTTATCGAAGATTATTTTTTTTTTAAAAACAACCCAGATTACAGAGTAAGATAGTTGAGATAAAAAAAAGTTGGTGATTATAACGTTCTTTTTTGGTGGTTTCAGGTTATTATTTAAATAAATAGTTCTCATAAATTTAAAAACATATGAAAATACTACTGAAAAGTATTTATTTTCATTTAAATGTTAAATGAAAATCCTTATTTTCAACTTTCACATTAAGAAGTCTTTTTTTTCAAAAAATCATAATAAAGAAAATGTACAAATAACTGCAAAAACTTCCTCGTTTCATTAGGCTTCCAAAATGGTATAATAACATATCAGTGAGTAAACCATTAACAAAACAATATTACTTTGCTAGAAAGGACCCCGCTAAGCGCATTTCATTGTACTGAGCAGTTAAACCGAGCCTTCGATGGTTCGACCCTTTTTGTTATTTTTTGTGCCCTGTGCCGTTATTCGGGTTTAAGTATTCGGAATCTGTCGTCGCTCCTCGGAAGCAAGCTCTTCGTGTGTTATGGATTGACACAGCTGACGGATCAAGGAAAGGGAACTAACGCTTAGGTTAGTTAGTAGAATATCAACCTTTAACGAGGTAGGACGTACTTTTACTTTTTTGATCAGTTTTAATAATGGCGAGTTACCGTAACGAAGACTACGCTGATATTCTGTTTTGTTATGGTTTTAAGTGTTGGAAATTCCGTTGAAGCCAGGCGAGAATACGAAAACCGTTTTCCGAATCGGTGAATACCGAGTCATCGAGTATTTGCTTCTGTGTACCAACGCGTCAAGGAAAGTGGACAGGTTCATGAGAGACGTCATGATGCTGGTAGACCTCGGTTGTTTGACGACGAAGATCGAGAGGCAATACTGGAATGCTACGGCAGAGACCCGACGACGTCTACACGAGTTATAGCAAAGCAGCTTGGTTTAACTCAGTGGAAAGTTTGGTTCGTTTTGCATTCGGCGAGACTTTACCCTTTCCATTACACACCGGTTCAAGTATTAGAAGAAGGAGATCCCGCAAGAAGAATTGATTTTTGTCGATACATGCTTCATCGGGATCAAGAAAAAAACGACTATTTAACTAAAATATTGCGGACCGACGAGTCTATGTTTGACAGAGAGGGGACAACAAATTATCAGAACTTACATTATTGGGCCCCACGGGAGGCAAATCCCCACATGGCAAAGCCAAGAGCCCATCAAAGAAGATTTCGGCAAACGTGTGGATGGGAATCATTCATACGTATCTAATTGGACCAGTTTTTTTGCCTGACAACCTGAATGGCGAATCCGATGAAAACTTTTTGAGATCCGAACTCTGGGAGTATCTCGAAGACCTGCTTCTGAATATCAGGATGCAGATGATCTACCAACAGGATGGCTGTCCCGCGCATTTCCGTCTGGGTGTTAGACAGTGGCTGGACGAGAAATATCCTTGTCGCTGAATTGGCCGAGGTGGACCGACACCGTGGCCAGCGAGGAGCCCAGATTTAACACCGTGTAACTATTATTTATGGGGGCACATGAAGTCACTGGTGTACGCTGAGCCCATAGACACTCTTGCACAGTTGAAAGAAAGAATTATTGCTGCTGCTGACACTATCAGAGGACAACTAACTGCCGCATCACGCGTACCAACATGAGAAAAAGACTACGGGCTTGCATAAGAAACGGCGGGCGTCAGTTCGAACAACAATTGCAATGAATTTTACCTTCATTTCATTATTGTATATTACTTACCAATTGTAGTAACTTTTAGTCAGTTTTTATTATTCTGTAGTACAATTACAACTGTGTAAATAATCTAATCGTGTGACTTAACCGTAGTTTAAAATAATAACTATCCCATAGCTTACAGTTACATTATTTTCACAAAAACACTTTCTTATCAATCAGAGAGTTGTGAAAATAAGAGACAAGCCATTGGTAAATTTACTCCCTATTGTTGTATTATAATACATTATGTTTAGTTTCACACAGTTTTGTGCACTTATCATACCAATTTAGATTCCTTATGAAACACGGATATTATTTAAATTGTTTGTACGTTTTTTTGTATACTGATTTTTTTGTAAAACACCTTACTTACTGTAAAACGTTATTTGTTTTTCTTAGTTAAACATTTTGAATGAAAATAAATACGTTGTTTGGTATTGTTTTCGAATCTTTTTAATTCATAATAGTTAATTATTGAAATAATAACCCAAAACCACAAAAAACAAATGTTTAATCGCCAACTTTTTTCTCTCTCGACTTTTTTACTATGAAATATGGATTGTTTTTAAAAAAAATCTTCAATAACTTTTCAACCTTTGAATATAGGGTATGGTATTATATACTAATTTCGATAGCAAAGGGGCTGTACTATCACCTCCTATAATGTTTTACACCTATTTACCTGTCACCCTGTATATGTGTGAATTATTCTTTTACTGACGTTTCGGCCACCACGGTGGCCTTTTTCAAAGTACAAATGACAGTGTCAATATTTCTACTTTTAAAAAGGCCACCGAAACTTAAAGAAGTTATTGACGCATATGTGGCTTCATGGAGTCAGCATGAAAACTACAGGATAAATTTCAGGTGTTATCATAGAGATGTAAAGAAATTGTATGTGTACTATTTGAATCACTTGCAAATTGAATTATATCAACGTGAAGAAAGTGAATATCAACATTTTTACTACGTATTGTTACAATATTACATAATTATTTATGTATATCAATTCCATATACTATCTTAAACAATCAATATCTTTTTTTTTAAATCCACGGATGGCAGAACCTCAAAAGGTCGGGATTTGAGGACTATAGTGCGACAAATAAATATTATCAATCAAAAAGTAATTTTTTATTATTAAAATTAAAATTATTACAACAAAATACCTTTGTTGGCAACTCATGAGATTACAGATGAAACGTATGAGATCAAAATATGAGACAACTAAAACATATACTTATGGCATATTCGGAATATAAACAATTTTCATAAAACTTTAACCCTATTTATGGTTTGCTATTGGGATCGACGAGACAAGACAACGTCCTTTATTTTTAATTTTTGGCCTCATTTTGATCGCATTTTTTTAAAGAATAAGTCAACATTTGACCACTAGACGTAGTGTTCTGGAATATTGGAATATACTGAAATATCTCTTGCAGACAGAATACAAACAATCCTTATTTTTAAACCGCGTAATTTTAAATTTTGTGTTTTGTTATTTTCTGGACAATTTGTATTTCGCTGGGACTCTGGACATCATATGAGATGTCAGGACACTCCTGACGAATCCCGACCATCTGGTAACCCTACCGATAGCAGTCTTATTCCATGTAATAATTGGAAGTGGATTCATTAAATAAGAAATACATCACGTCCTATTATAACAGGTATTCGTTCTCTAAGCCAACTTACCCCTATCCTCTTAAATTCCTTGGCGATCTTGTGATACTGATCCGTATAAACACTGTTAAATTTAAGAAACTCCTCCATTTCTTCAGCTAATAATATTTATAAACGGAAACACCACACTGCACATGCGACTACAATTTTGCCTTGTAGCCACTCCGTTCTTTGAACTCTGTATTAAGCTTAAACCTGTCTCTGAAAGCCGATTTCACATTCTGGTGTAGTCGGAACCAAATTGAAATGTGCGCCTATACTATCAGCTGTCCTTGCTTGTTTTCTTGGATATATATGATAGACAGGGGCGTAGCTACCGCCATATCAATGGTACGGGGCCCAAAGCTTACAGAGCCCCCCAGCTTACAGAGGCCCCCACATACGAAAAAAATGCGTAGTGTTTCTTCACAATTTCACTTAAGTTTTTGGATCGTAAGCTAAATTAAAAATTCTCAGGCGCTAAGTGATAGTAACATGCTTCCTATTTCAACGTTCTAGATTACAACTGCAAACAGCTGAAAGAAGCTTTTCGCAATTAAAATATCTCCGGACTTCTGTGATTCAACTTTTTCCCTTGATATCCATTCCCAAATCAAGTGGAAATGTGAAATTTTATTTTAGAGTATCGTGAAAAAATGGCAGGAAACTGGAAGTGGCCGGTTATTGGAATGCTATCAGAAAAATATTTTGCCTCATAGCGAGTGCCGGGAATGGTTGTGTTTACAGCTATCAGAAAAATATTTAAAAAAATTTTATGTATGTGTTTTGAAAATTATAGGTCTTTGAAAAGATATAGAAATTTCACACCCTTCGGCAGTCTGTCAACTCCTGTTACTACAAATATTAACTTTTTTTGGATTTTATTTTTACAGTGTAATGATGAATAATGCATCTTCAAACTGGTGTCTCAACCTTACTGCCAACTTTTCTCGTTCAGGAAAAATTGCCACTTATTTCCCAACCAAGTATTCCAAAGTAAAAATTTGCTCAACTTTAACGTACTGGAAAAAATGTACTACGAGAGTTTGGCAAGTAACCTTAAAAGTTGGCGCATTTAATAGCGATTCCAAAATGGTATAACACTTAGAAGATTACTCGTTAACTTATGCACAATTTTTATTTAAAAAAAAACTGATGAAAATTTTTCAAAATTTCCTAATTAAACAGCGATTATGAAAACGCACAAGGACCCCCTTAAGGATAACTGTTTGCACAACAGTGGGCGTCAAAATGCTGCTGATGATGAACCTTTACAGCAAATGCTCAAACTGTTTTCCTTTAGCCGCAATACACGCTCGACATCTTCTTAAAAAAGATCGGGTTATTAAACTAGCGAATACACGGTTATTAACAAACTCAGCTGCTTCCAATAGTCTTTGCCGTAGCTCACCTACATTTTGAATCGGCTTGAAATACACTTTTTCTTTTACAGTTCCCCAGTAAAAAAATCTAAAGGATTCAAATCAGGTGATCGGGCTGGCCACGGTATTGTACCAGACCGCCTTATCCATCTGCCTGGAAAGTTTTGATCGAGATACTCTCTCACTGAGAGTGCATAGTGCGCTGGGCAGCCATCATGCTGAGACCACATGTCCCTGTAAATACTCAGTGGCACGTCCACCAATAAATGTTGTACATGATTTTTCAAAAAATCCAAATAAACTTCAGCAGTCAAAGTCTCTGGGAACTCAAACGGACCGATTATTTTACCATTTAAAAATTCCTGTCCAATGGTCCATACCACGTACAGCGTGTTCAAGCTCTTCTGCCCCGGGATTATGAGCCCCGAATTGCTTTTTGTCGCACAATGTTAGAAAGACACAGGGAAGATCTACGGTTCTTTGAAAAAAATTTATGGTCAGATGAGACCACATTTAAGAAAGATGGGTACATGAACATGCATAACTTACACGAGTGGCACGTAGCAAACCTACATTTGATGAGAGAAGATAAATCTCAATATCGCTTCAAGATAAACCATTGGACAGGAATTTTAAATGGTAAAATAATCGGTCCGTTTGAGTTCCCAGAGACTTTGACTGATGAGGTTTATTTAGGTTTTTTGCAAAATCATTTAGAAAATTTATTGGAGGACGTGCCACTGAGTATTCACAGGGACATGTGGTTTCAGCATTATGGCTGCCCAGCGCACTATGCACTCTCAGTGAGAGAGTATCTCGATCAAAACTTTCCAGGCAGATGGATAGGGCGGTCTGGTACAATACCGTGGCCAGCCCGGTCACCAGATGTGAATCCGTTAGATTTTTTTTACTGGGGAACTGTAAAAGAAAAGTGTATTTCAAGCCGATTCAAAATGTAGCTGAGCTACGGCAAAGACTATTGGAAACAGCTGAGTTTGTTAATAATCGTGGATTCGCTCGTTTAATAACCCGATCTTTTTTAAGAAGATGTCGAGCGTGTATTGCCGCTGAAGGAAAACAGTTTGAGCATTTGCTGTAAAGGTAAATCATCATCAGCAGCATTTTGACGCCCACTGTTATGCAAACAGTTATCCTTAAGGGTCCTTGTGAGTTTTCATAATCGCTGTTTAATTAGTAAATTTTGAGAAATTTTCATCAGTTTTTCTTCAAATAAAAATTGTGCATAAGTTAACGAGTAATCTTCTAAGTGTTATACCATTTTGGAATCCTTATTAAATGCGCCAACTTTTAAGGTTACTTGCCAACCTCTCGTAGTACATTTTTTCCATTACAGCCAGTTAAAGTTAAGCAAAGTTTTACTTTGGAATACTTGGTTGGGAAATAAGTGGCAATTTTACCTGAACGAGAAAAGTTGGCAGTAAGGTTGAGACACCAGTTTGAAGATGCATTATTCATCATTACATTGTAAAAATAAAATCCAAAAAAAGTTAATATTTGTACTAACAGGAGTTGACAGACTGCCGTAGGGTGTGAAATTTCTATATTTTTTCAAAGACCTATAATTTTCAAAACACATACATAAAATTTTTTTAAATATTTTTCTGATAGCTGTTATGACTTTGCCTATCACTCGGTCTCGGCTTGACGTCGACTTCTGGGACACCCTGTATAACAAGAACATTATTTATATTATTATATAAAGTTTATGTCGCTCACTACACAAACGACATAGTTGAGGAACTTGGAATTCGCCACAGTTGGGGGTTGGCTCCCCATACAAATTTTGATCTGCGGCCCTTGAGATGCAAGCTACGCCACTGATGGTAGATACTGTTGTTTATCTAAGTTCATTACAAAAGAGATGAACATATGCGCACTATGCCGATAAATTACATAACAAGTGTCTCACAATATTTACTGCTCCAGAAAAACTTGGCAATATTTCTAGATTAAAAACTAAATCAAAAAAAATCCTATAATCATAGCAACTTTGCAAAATGTATATGGTTTTCAAAAAACGAAGGAGAACCAACAAACTGTATAAGAAAATTGGTAGTAATAAAGCAGTGTTCCTATAGCGCAAAAATCTTTGTAACAAAAAATCGTTGAAAAATAAGCCGAAACAAAAAATGTCACCGGGTTAAAATTCAAATTAATTCAAATGCATGACTATAATGGAGAATTTATTCAAAAAAATATTGCTGTAGGATCAACGTTGTGTAAACGGGTTTAAAACGTAAGCTTACAGGTTGGGCTAAATTGTTAAAATTGTAAATAATAGCTCCAGAATTTCATTTCACGTTTCTAATCCCAGTATCAGGGGCGTAGCAACCGCCATATCAGTGAGACGGGGTCCCCCGATGTTTGAAAAAAATGCGTTAAATATTGTCCAGAATCCACATCAAGCGAGGCCCGTGGTCAGGACCCCCGTTTGATGAGGGGCCCCCAGAAAAATCAATCAATTGTCACCAACAAAAAAAAGAGCCACAGATTTCTACCTCCAAGCTCCAGTGTCAAACATAGCTTAAGACGACCCTTGTCCAAATGACCTAAACTATAATTCTTTGGAGTTACAATAGCATGCTTACTGTTTTTGACAAGACTTAGGACTTCTATTTTTTCAATAGCGAAGCAGCCGCGCAGGCAGACGCCTGGACATCGCGGCTGCTATATATACTAAGTGACATATAATTCCGAACACCCAGTTTAAATGGTTTTATTTTAATAAAAGTTGGTGAATGTATTTATCTTACTGTAAATAACAAGTGAAAAAAATTTCAGCCTTATCAATTGGACATTCCTGTTTTTATACTGCTTTTTTTTATTCACTAACGCTCTAAAAATGAATATTTCAGCCGCAGTAAAGAATCAACGTTGGCGGATTTTGGTTCTTGACATCCTTTACGATCGGTTACGATGCCTAGAGTACGGAGACCTGTACGATTTCGTCAACTTAGTGAGTTTGATAGGGGCCGTATAGTGGGACTTCGGGAAGCTGGACTTTCTTTTCGGGCAATTGCAGTTAGAGTGCAAAGAAGTGTAGACACTGTGGTTAGGTGTTGTCAGGCATGGCTTCGAGAAGGCCGTACGCAAAGAGCAAGGGGCACTGGACGCCGCCGTAGAACAACAGACCGTGAAGATCGCCGCCTAAGATTATTGGCCTTAAGGGACCGTTTCTCCACTACCAGGTCCATTGCAAATGAATGGTTTGCAGAACACGGAAGACCTATTGGCATGCGAAGTGTTTACCGACGAATGAGAAGTTTTGGCTTGTTTTCATACCGGCCACACTGGGTCCTCCCTTTAACTCGAGAACACCGACGTCATCGCCTTGAGTGGTGCAGACAACGGTCACTCTGGGATCAGGAATGGAACAGTATTGTCTATAGTGACGAGTCTCGATTTTGTTTAGGCATGCACGATGGTCGTGCCAGGGTTAGAAGGCGACGTGGTGAAAGGAGGAATCCACAGTTTTTTGTTGAAAGACATGTTCATCACACTGTTGGAGTTATGGTTTGGGGTGCTATAGCTTATGGTTCCAGGTCACCTTTAAACTTCATCAGAGGTAACATGAATGCGCAGCGTTATATCCACGAAGTTCTAGAACCCCATCTTTTACCCTATCTTGACACCCTGGCAGATCCAACTTTCCAACAAGATAATGCCCGACCACATGTTGCAAGAGTCACAATAGACTTCTTTCAACATAATGACATTGTTACCATGGCCACCAAGATCTCCCGATTTATCCCCAATTGAGCACGTGTGGGATATGATGGGTAGGAGATTGCTCAATTTGCAACGTCCTCCTCAGACTCTAGAAGCACTTCGAGAGGAGTTGGTGGTTGGCTGGAATGAGATACCA